CCCTCTCGACATCTCGAGTGGATTTCCCGGTTCATCATACTACCTAGCGCTGTTCTACTGATTGGTAATAATATTTACCCGGAGTTCACCGCACTCGTGGTTGAAGCAAAGCGCCCGGCATGCAAACCGCTCATCAAAATCGCCATCGCCATCCGGTACCCATGCTCGGCATAACCATCATTCCAAAACCACAACCTAAACGGCCCTTTTCAGGGCCACCAATAATTCGACAAAGAGTTAGTTTTGAAGACAATTTCTTTCCAGAATATCACGGTTACACTTAAATTTGGGGACTATACTGGGGTGTGGGAACGCTGAAAGGGGAGATGCTGTCTGTCTTCGAACTACCAACATCATTTCAAAGCTCCTCCAGGGCGACAGAGTAGAGCAAACCCAACAACATCAGACCAACAAAACGGCCCTTTTCAGGGCCACCAAACTTTCGCAAAAGAGTTATTAAGGAATATTCCTAAAATATAATATACACAATTAAGTACAACACATAACAGACGTTATCCAACGCCAACCCTGCGGTCGTATCTAGTATACAACCCTTCCAACTTTTTTAATGTGTGCATTTAGTTGTTAAATGGCATGATAAGATTATTTTTTAGCATTGAAAATAGTTTTAAAATGTTTATTTTCAATTCTGGGGTGAAGTTGATCATGCAGGTTTTTATGCAATGCAATAATCATGCTTAATTGCATGCTGCTGCTGCAAAATAGTTGAAAATACGCCTAAATGTAGGCAATTCATATCTGGTTTTCATATAAAATCATATGTATAATAGGGGAAATGGCTCTAATGTTGGCCTATGGATCTAAGATTGGGTCCATCGCTATTTTTCAATTTTGTCTAGATGAACGCGTCATTGGGACGGCACTAATGAATATTTTTTGTCGCTATTGAAAATTTAGTCAATTGATGAATTTATGTATGTGCCCAAATTAGGGGCATTTCGGCCGACATTACATCCATTTCCCCTACTGAATCGTTCATTTGAACAAAATGTGATTCCAGATTCGGGTTCAGCGACCTAATATTAAAGTAAAATTAAATTATTTCGTCAAACACAGCACCAAAACAAATACTGATTATGATCGGAATTTGAGGAGCAGGTAAAAGATGCATATTTTATCACTTCTACAAAATTTTAAATTTAGAGCGGTAGAATGTATTGTTTGTTAGGAAACACGTTTCAGAAGTACAGTCAGGAATCCTTATTGCCGGATCCTTATTGCCGGGCTATCCGCGGATACCCACAGCTTATGGGATTTTCACTAATGGGGGCTGTAGTGGATTATCTCATTTGTTTCAATACATAAAGCTATACTGTCTTCGACAAAGTTGCTGTACTGGGTTAGACCAACAAGCCTGTGCCAGTGGAACTACGGCCATTGGACAGCAATGTTGAACGGAGTGCAAAAATGCAAGATTTGCTAAGGGAAGTCGAGACCCATCTCACGGTGTGGAAGAACGAGAGTGACTAGAATGCATAAAACATGACAGCGCTGGTTGGTTCTTTGTTATCGAAAGAGAAAATAAAATGTGGAATAAATCTGTAGCTTACGATAGAAAAAACAAAACAAATCAAAGCATTTTATTGTTTTGAGGAATTTTCCACGTTACGTTGCAATCTTGCTCAATGATACGCTATACACAATAAATTATACGCAATATTCTTGGTAAGCCTTATTTATGGAAAACATGTTGCCGCCATATTGGATTCCAAAATAGCGGCTGGAATGTATATCTGACCTTTACACGTCGTCCCTTTTCGGAAATTCCTCCATTGTAGGATATTTGACAGTTTTTCTTAAAACCGATGACCGCCATCTTGGTTTTTAAAATGGCGTCTGGCATCGGTTTACGGCCTCTACACGTCCGGAAATACCCATATTGTAGGGTATTTGACAGTTTTTATTGAACCTATGGCCGTCATCTTGAATTTCAAAATGGCATCTGGCATCGATTTTCGGCCTCTACACGTCGTTTTCTTTCCGGAAATACTCATATTGTAGATTATTTGACAATTTTTCTTGACCCGATGGCCGCCATCTTGGATTACAAAATGGCATCTGAAATCGATTTCCTGTCTCTACATGTCATCTCCTATCCAAAAATACCCATGTTGTAAGGTATTTGACAGTTTTTCTTGAACCGATGGCAACCATCTTGGATTCCAAAATGGCGTCTGACATCGATTTCCGGCCTCTACACGTCATTCCCTATCCGGAAATACCCATATTGTAGGGTATTTGACAGTTTGTCTTGACCCGATGGTCACCTTCTTGGATTCCAAAATGGCTTCTGGCATCAATTTCTGGCCTCTACACGTCGTTCCCTTTCCGGAAATACCCGTATTATAGGGTATTTGACAGTTTTTCTTGACCCGATGGCTGCCATCTTGGATTCCAAAATGACGTCTGGCAACGATTTCCGGCCTCTACACGTCATCCCCTTTCCAAAAATATCCATATTGTACGGCATTGGAGTTTTTCTTGAACCGATGGCCGCCATCTTGGATTCCAAAATGGCATCTGACATCGATTTCCGGCCTCTACACGTCATCCTTTTTCCGGTTCCTGTTCTCACATTGCACAGCAAAATCTTATATGGACAAGCTTTGGAGTCATAACATATTAAGGAAGTTCATGTGCACACTAGCGTCGCGTAGTGTGAGGATTCTGAAATAATATGACCATCATCCAAAAGGACCTGATTGCTGAAAACAGCAACTTTCTATATGGCCAGGCTCTCGAGATACAGTTTATACAGGAATTGCACATGCACACTAGCGCTGCGTAGTGAGAGAGTTCTGAACTTATATGGCCACCATCCAAAAGGACTTGATCACCTGCCCAACTTTGCTGAAAACAGCAACTTTCTATATGGCCAGGCTCTCGAGGTACAGTTTATATAGGAATTTCACATGCACACTAGCGCTGCGTAGTGAGAGAGTTCTGAATTAATATGGCCACCATCCAAAAGGACTTGATCACATGCCCAACTTTGCTGAAAACAGCAACTTTCTATATGGCCAGGCTCTCGAGATACAGTTTATATAGGAATTGCACATGCACACTAGCGCTGCGTAGTGAGAGAGTTCTGAACTAATATGGCCACCATCCGAAAGGACTTGGTCACCTGAACAACTTTGCTGAAGACAGTAACTTTCTATATGGCCAGGATCACGAAATATTCTATGTTGGAAATATGATCCATATATTATAGCGCCCGTCATAAGTAACATAAAAGTGAAGCGCCTCTAGCGGCGTAGTTCTCAATTTCCCGAATCCAATGGCACAGGCTTGTTGGTCTAACCCAGTACAGCAACTTTGTCGAAGACAGTATAGCTTTATGTATTGAAACAAATGAGATAATCCACTACAGCCCCCATTAGTGAAAATCCCATAAGCTGTGGGTATCCTTATTCGCGGTTCCTTATTCATGCCCCCGTTACCCCGGCAATAAGGATTCCTGACTGTACTATTTAAAACTACATGACAAAACACTGAAGAAATTATATCATAAAAAAGAACTGTTGAGTAACGAAAATAGAACGGTGTAGGTAGTGATCAACTTTACCTCAATGATCAACTTCTCCCAAGTCTGCACATTGTAGACGAAATAAACGTATCTGTCAAGGTTAAGCAAATCAGGTAGTGGAATTAAATGAAAATTACTAATCCTTCTCTCTCTCTCGCTCTCTCTCTTTAAGCTTCTCCCAGTTTCACAGTGTGTACTCAAGAAAATACTGTAATCAACCAGTAGCTAGGTATTTCTTCGTTTTTCAATAGCGTGTCAAATGTACGGGACTGTTCGGATAAATAGTTAAACTTATTATTCATTATTATTTTCATATTTATTTCCAACTGCTTTCGTCATTCTCTTCATTTTTGCTTTCGTACGTCTTGCATATCCAAAGTAAACTAAATATAAATAAATCGTAGTCGTACAAACACTATATAAACAGTTCATTTATAACAAAAAAAAATATTCCGTAATAATAAAAATCACAATAACATAGGTTACGCGCCTATACAGTAATAGAACAATAATAATTAATAATAGCTACAGCAAATATAACATACCTTCTAGCTAATAACCGAATCATGTAAATATGCTTAACATATTTAATCGAAAAAAAAAACATTCTTTACAGCGACATCACCAAAAAAAAAATATGTTACAGCAAATCCCAACAATTCAAGCCGGAATTGATAGTCTACCAAATTTACGATCCGTAACGACTCCATGTGATTAATCCTTCTTATCGTTACTATTATTTGTTGTTCGACTACTCGCGTCGTTGCATAACAGAGTGTGTAAATTAGTTAAAGCATTTCTCCTCATTACAATGTACGAATACCTCAACAATCAATGTCCTTCCCATTACAGCCGCCCTACGCCTTAATTCCTTTTTATTTGTTTTGGTCATTTTAACGAAGCAGCTTCTGTTATTCCTACTGTATGTGTAAATGTAACTATATATTTTTTTGTCCACGATTTTCAACATTTCGAACACGGTTAACCTGCTAACGGAGTTCGTTTCATACATACACACGCACACAAGACACGACATCTATTGGTTACACTTTTAGTTTAATTGTATAATATGTGTATATGTATAGCTTATTGAATGACTGTGTATGCAGTCGGAACGCTCTAAGAACGGTTCGATCCCGTTTGGCATAATGGTCGCTTGGTATGATGAATATGATTTGGTGTTTACCCTTCTTTTGAACATGAGCTGTTCTTTTCTCATGTTTATGCCAAAAAGCCTTTATGCCAAACGGGATAGAGCCCTACGAACAACCATTTAAAACCTCAAATACCGATCTATGTCCTGTTTCACACATGTTGGTTATGTAGCATTATGGCTAAGGTTTTCCATTTGTTGTTTATGCAGTACAACACGCTCACACACGTATAGATTGAAGTGCATACGTTGGATTCCATGGTGAGGGAAAGTGAAGGCATTTAACAGCAGAAAGCATTTAAGAACTCTTTGTATCGCTGAAGTTAAATTTAATGAAATGTTTTAAATGTATTTTGGTTATGTGTACTTTGTAGCGTCCATTAAATGTAAGCATCAATCTTGTCCTCTTGTAAGTTCAAAGCGTTGTTGTGTTCCCCCCTTATTCCAGTTTGATGGGTTGGGGAAATATTGCTGTCAGTCGCACACTCGCCGCATATCTCCTGATCCTGATTGGATCCCAGTAACGTATTTTATTTATTTCTATGATCTTATCATGTTTCTATTTAACTTTTACATTCGCTCAGCGTAGCTTACTCATACAAGTTTGGTAAAATGTAGTAATTTATTCGATTTTACTTGGAACAGCACAACAATGAAAGGATTTATAGGTTGTTTGTTGAAATAAATGTTGATAGTTAAATGGTTAGCAACGAATTACACTGATGTTAAATACAAACATTGGAACACCGAAAAATAGGGGATTCAAGCTCAGACTTAAGCAAAATAGAGTGATCGACTAGTGATGACATACTTTCATTGGGTAGCTCAATTTATGCTCTCCGAAGAGGCTATTGGAAAAGGTTTGAACAGGCTTTCAGAGGTGATCTGAAATGATTTACCAGTGCGATGGCTATCTAACTCTCAAAAAAGAATCAACTCGTACTACGATAAAAGCTAAAGCCCACTTGGTGCAATGAACAAATTCAATTTTATATTTGAAAAAAATAATCAAAAAAAAATGTATGAAATAATAGGTCTAGATTTTGTTTATTCCCAACACAAAATCAAAGAGTTGTAATCCTTCTGGATATGCATAAACTTTTCTGAAATATTTACTGCTGTTCTAGCAAATATTCGAGACTTTACTGTATATGTATACTGTACCGGGCTCATTGATTGAGTATGTAGGAAGTTTTCAGCAATTTCAGTAAACCTTATCTATTTTGAGTGCCCCCACTGACTGGCGCCACAGTTTTGTCATCCCGATTCCTAAAAAGAATATGGGATCTACCGATCCACATGATTACCGACCAATTGCACTAACTAACTGTACTTCAAAGGTTATGGGTGACGACTTATCACCGAACTACAAGAGCACAATTGTTTAGACTCTCGACAATTTGCTTTTCTTAAAGGCAGAGGTACCGGACCATATCTAGCATCTCTTGGTCAAGTGATCGACGATGCCCTGTCGAATGGGCAGCACGTTGCCATCGCAACTCTGAATCTCTCGATAGCATACAACCGAGTTTGGCGTCCTGCTGTACTACAACAGCTTATAGACTGGGATATTGTAGGCAACATGGGCAAATTTGTCCAGGGTTATCTGAAGAAGCGAACATTCCAAGTCCTTATCGGTGACACTAAATCCAACTCTTTCAAAGAAGAGACCGGAGTTCCACAAGGCTCAGTCCTTGCCGAGAAATGCTCGATTACACATTTCTGTAATTCAAAACACCACCCGTGGACCAATCCTGTAATTGTCGGTGAGAAAGAAATCCCATTCAAACAACAGTTGCGAGTACTCGGGGTTACCTTCGACCGGAAGTGCAACTTCGATGCCCACTTCAATTTGGTTAAGAAAGAAACTGAATGTAGAATCCATCTGATTAAAGCGATTAGCGGTATAGACACAAAACAAACAACAGAATATCTCTTCAGAACATCGGACGCGGTATACTTCTTCTTCTTCTTCGCATTTCAAGCTTATTGCATATCGCATATTAGCTTATTGCGTGCTCTCAACTTAGTGTTCTAGATGCACTTCCACAGTTATTAATTGAGAGCTTTCGATGCCTGTACCATTTTTGCATTAGTATAATTATTCTGTGGCAAGTACAATCATACTCTATGCCCAGGGAAGTCAAGAAATTTTCCAACCCGAAAAATTCCTAGACCGGACCGGGAATCGAACCCAGCCACCTCCAGCATGGTCTTGCTTTGTAGCTGCGCCTTTTACTGACTGAGCTAAGGGAGGCCCCGGTATAGCGCGTTATAGTTACCAGCAAATTACTTTACGGTTTGGAAATTGCTGTTCGGTCATCGGCAGCAATGATCCACTCTCTAAGCCCCGTGTACAATAGGATGATACGACTAACTTCCGGACTTCTTCCAAGCTCACCTACCTTGGCTACATGTGTAGAAGCTGGTGTCATTCTGTTTCAGTTCTTACTGACGACTGCAGCATCCAGCAGAGCCATCAGCTATATTCAAAAGACATACGGAGAAACCAGAAACATTTTCATCCTTGAAAAAGCGAAAAACCTTGTTCAAGAGTACGCATCGACTTCCCTCCGGTAGCAGAAGTCCACCGGGTTGGAGATCGGAAATGGAATCACATCGGTCCCAAAATCGATTGGTCGATCAAGTGAGCAGTTCGTGCTGGTGACTCCTTAGGAAGAACCGCCGCTGTAGTCAATCATCTACTGAGAACTAAATATGCTACACATATCAAAATTTTCACTGACGGGTCCCGATCGAATGGAACGGTTGGAATCGGAGTACATAGTTCATCACTATGTCTTGCACACAGGCTTCCAGATCAGGTTTCTGTATTTTCTGCTGAGGCAGCAGCCATTCTACACGCCATAAACAGTAGCGCTGACGACTTCACTCCTACAATCATACTTTCAGACTCGGCTAGTGTTCTGGCAGCTTTGGAGAACCCAAGACAGAATCCATCGAGATTGCCGCCCGAGCTAACACCACATTGTGCTGGATACCCGGCCACTGCGGCATTAAAGGCAACGAGAAAGCAGACCGTCTCGCTTGCCTTGGCCGAAGCTCCGAAAAATGGGACCTCAACATACCATGTTCTGATATTCGCAGAACAATCACGCAATCTGTTAATCGTACATGGGAGCAGCAGTGGGCATCAAACGAAGTCCTTTTTCTAAGGAAAATAAAAGGAGATATAGGAAGATGGCCGGACAGGAAAAGTCGAAGGGAACAACAAGTATTATCCCGTCTTAGAGTTGGACATACAAGGATCACCCATCAGCACTACATATCATCCTCTCTCAACCAACATGCCAGTTCTGCGGGGGTTCCCCTTAAGGTGGAACATCTTCTAATAAATTGTCCGCAGTTTGAAACAGTACGAACGAACCTGGACCTAGACACAACCATCCGGAGTATCCTGCAAAATGATCCAGTCAACGAAACTAAACTTAGAATATTCTTAAAAGAAGCCAAACTTTTCTTTAAAATTTAATGAATCGTAAATTTTAAATATTGGATGGCTCAAACCAACTTATTCGCATCTCCCAGAGGCGAACCAGCCTTTAGGCTTAAAACCTCTTAAATAAAAAAAAAAATTTTGAGAGCCATTTTTCAAACTGCTTTAGTTTTTTAAAATAAGGAGCCAAATGAGCATGAGATTTTGATAATTTGTTATGAACACATAGATCTTATATTTGGATTATATTTTAATAAACTAGGATAAGTAAGAGTTACAACAGATCCGGGGTTCAGAATAGTAAAAAATCTAGGACCATCCTAGAATATTTGACCTAGCGGGCTACGCTTCTGCTGCTCAAGCCTGGTTTATCCATAAAGTTAAACATGCTTTAAGGCTTAACTGCAGGTGAGAAAATCGGCCCCAAGGAGCTGTCTATGTACTGTTCAACTACGTAGACGGGTCTTGATGGAGGATTTGATGGACCCCACCGCTACCCTAGGGTCAATTTCTTCACTTTCGCTACTCTCCTTAGACAGTTTTCCACAATTTGTATGGCCTGTAGACACCCGCTACTCCTCCCTCTTAAGCTGTCTACCAGGGTGTCTACTCATCTAGGTAAATAAAGTTCCCTGAGTTTTTCAGGTTTTTCCAGGACTATCACGGGAAATTTACAGTTATAAGCCTGTTTGAAACGAAAAAACAAATCAATGTCTTACAGTTTTGAAGTCTGCGTTCAAGATATTGAAAATGTTCCTGCCAGGGTAAACACAATTAAATGATTTATTTCAAGTTCACAATCTTTGGAACATCGAAGTTCAGCATTACTAATACTTATACTAATTTTGGAACATTAAATATTATAGGAATTCCTATTTACTTCTGCTCAGGACTTCTATAAATTCATTGGAATGCTCCTGACAAACCCATTAGAACTTCTCGGATTTCCGTTGAAATTTTCCTTAAAATTACATTGGAACTATTCGCGGAATTTTTCCCGGAATTACATTCAAATTCTTTGGAAGTATTCTCATAATTTTGTTTAAATTTTACTCCTTCCCTTGGAATTCTACTAATCGCTTTGGCAGTTTCCGAAGAATTCTCTTGCAGTTCTCCTCACAAATTTCTTAGATTATTCCCGAGATTTCTCCTCAAAATTAGTTTGGAATTCAAGTCAGAGCTCTTCTGGAATTCTTTTCCGAATTTATTTAAAGTTTTCCTGGAATTATTCTCAGATTTAATTTTGATTTTCCATTTTGCACACCCTGAAGTATTCTACGAAATGTCCCTTGGAATTATGCACGGGATTCCTTTTATCCCAAAAACTTGATGAAGTTACCCTTACAATGCCCTTAGATTTCTGCTTTGAATTTCCTCAGAGTTCACCTCAGAATTATCATGGAATAATCATCAGAAATCCTTAGGAATTAACATCAGAAATTCTTTCGAATTTTCATTCAAATTTCCTTTGAATCCAATGCAGGGGTTACTTGGAATTTTGATCAGAACTACCTTGTATTCTTCTCATATTTTACACGCAATCTGAAGTTCCTCGCTACTACCATAGAGGTAACTCTAAGACTAGAAGGTCCCGAAATAACGTCCTCAACTTTTTGGCTCAGCTCTGGTACTCGGTCCCAAGCTAATCTAAGCCTGATGATGATCATATGATGATGGTGGTGATGGTCGGCAACATGGAGCCACCACAGTCAACTGCACTCCGGGACGCATTCTTGCCGTCCGCCCTGAGGAAGCCCCTATTCCGCTCATCGCAGTCGAGCCCCTCCTGCCAGCAACCAGCAGTCGTCCCGGCCCTGCGTTTGAGATGGGAGAAGGGGTCTTCCACATTCCTGTTATTGGCAAGTATGATCAACCGACGAATATATTATCGCCTGAAAGTATCTTGGTTTCCAGCGGCCCTACTCGAACATCCTTCCTCCGTCAAGTGACATCTACCAGCTCCCAAACGCAACTACACGCTGAACCTTCCATTGTTCCCGAACAGCGGAGGTCGGACATAACGATTTACTATCAGAACGTTGGCGGTATGAACGGCTCCGTGGATCACTGCTACGACATTTTTGTTTTGACCGAAACATGGCTCAATTATCGAACCATTTCAAACTATGTCTTTGGTGCTGGCTACGAAATATTTCGTTGCGATCGAAACACGAATAATAGTAGGAAAATTACTGGGGGAGGCGTCCTTATCGCAGTTAATTCCAAGCTGAAAGCAGAATTTATCGAGGACGATTCCTGGAACAGGGTTGAACAAATGTGGGTGGCTATTCAACTTGGTGATCGTGAATTGCTTCTTTGTGCAGTGTACATTCCTCCAGATAGAACCCGTGACTTGGAGCTTATTGACGCACATTGTCGATCCGTCTTGGCCGCTTCAGACAAAGCAGGCCCTTCCGACGAAGTTATTGTTCTTGGCGATTTTAACCTACCGGACATTGCATGAACTCCAACCTAGAGTGGTTTCTTTTGTCCTGATCACGAGCGTTCATCTTTCCACGTAAGAACCATCCAGCTCCTGGACAGTTATAGTACCGCAATTCTGTCACAAATCAATGGCCTGTTGAATGAAAACAACCGCACCCTGGATCTCTGCTCGTGATACAGCTCCTTTCCTCTCCACGGCACCCGAACCTTTAGTCAAGGAAGTGCATCATCACCCTGCTTTAGTTATCGTGATCGAAAATAATATTGTCCATGATTTCACCAGCACTCCAAACGCTGTGTTATATGACTTCCGTAGAGCTGACCATCACAGTATCGTCCATGTGCTGTCTAACATAGATTGGGAGCATATTCTAGATCCTGTAGACGTCAACATTGCTGCACAAACCTTTTCTCACGTCTTGGCATATGTCATTGACAGACACGTTTCCAAAAAGACCATCCATATCGACTCTCGCGTCCCGTCGATGACGAAAGATCTTCGTTGAAAAGAACTAAGAAGGCTGCTCTCAGAAGATTCACTAAACTCCGCTGAAATGCTACTATGTCAGACTCAACCACGAGTATAAGCGGTTAAGTCGTCTCTGTTTTCAACGCTATCAAAGGAGGCTAAAATCACACCCGAAATCCTTCTGGAACTTCGTAAATGAGCAACGCAGGGAAGTCGGCTTACCCTCTTCCATGATTTTTAATGGTGAAACTGCTGGAAATCAACAAGACATTTGCAACCTGTTCTCAGCCAAATTTGCTAGTGTGTTTGAAGACGAGCAACTCTCCGCTAATATCATTACTTCCGCGGCCAGTAATGTTCCTTTGATCAACCGCTCAGCATGGTCGAAGCCACTACAGATACGATTTCTAGAGCAGCATCTATTCTTAAAAACAACATCACTTGTCTTTTAGATCCACTGCGCCGCATATTTCAGCTCTCTCTTTCCAGCAGCATTTTCCGTCTTGCTGGAAGACTGCGGATATGTTTCCTGTTCATAAAAAGGGAAGCAAACGCGACGTAAACAACTACTGGGGAATCACGTCGCTGAGTGCTGTATCAAAACTTTTTGAATTGGTTGTCATAGAGTCCCTAAATGCGCATTGCAAGCAATATCTAAGTACAGATCAACACGGATTCATAACTGGGCGTTCCACAACTACGAACCTGCTGTGCCTAACGTCTTACATCACAGACAGTTTGATTGGTCGGACCCAAATGGACGTTATCTACACAGATCTTACGGCAGCCTTCGATAAGCTGAACCACGAAATTGCGATCGCTAAGCTTGATAGGCTAGGGATCGGTGGAAATATTTTGAGATGGTTTCGTTCATACCTCACGGAGCGCCAATTGACAGTAACTTTGGGTACTTGTCGCTCAGCAAGCTTCTGCGCAAAGTCCGGTATACCTCAGGGTAGCCATCTGGGACCATTGGTATTTCTCCTCTACTTCGACGAAGTTCATCATGTTATCACAGAGCCACGATTATCGTTTGCAGACGATCTGAAAGTTTTTCTGCGCATCCGCTCACTCGCCGACTGCCGTTCTCTCCAAAATCAGATTGACATCTTTGCTGACTGGTGTAGTCTAAACCGACTGGTGGTCAACCCAGCTAAGTGTACAGTTATTACTTTCTCACGCAAGAACCAACCGATTATTTTCAACTACAAACTACTAGGCACGACTATCGAACGGGTGCACTGCGTGAAAGACTTAGGCGTTTTTCTAGACTCAAAGCTGACATACTCACACCATATATCGTATGTCGTCGACAAAGCGTCCAGAACGCTTGGCTTTGTCTTCAAGATTACTAAGAACTTCACGGACATTCACTGCTGGAAATCGCTCTATTGCTCTCTCGTACGATCTACGTTGGCATACTGCTCTGCTGTCTGGAGCCCGAACTACAATAATGGGGCCGAGCGAATTGAATCTGTTCAACGACGTTTTCTTCGCTTCGCGCTCCGTAAGCTGCCTTGGAGATACCCACTTCGTCTTCCAAGCTACGAGAATCGCTGCCAATTGATCAATGGCGAATGGCACTGGCGCCGGCATTCCATGAGCATTGAAAATTATGCAAGGTCCTTAACACACCGAGGAGCTCGGTCGGTTGAAGAACAACAATGCAACTGGTGTAGATCAACTACCAAGTGAATATGGTGGTGAAGCACTGGCTAGAGAGCTCCACTGGGTTATTGCCAATATTTGGGAGGAGGAGATATTACCGGAAGAGTGGATGACAGGTATCGTATGCCTAATCTACAAAATGGGCGACAAGTTGGATTGTTGCAACTACCGCGCGATCACACTGCTGAGCGGCGCCTACAAGGTACTCTCCCAAATTCTATGCCGCCGCCTGTCACTATTTGCAAGTGAGTTCGTGGGGAATACCAGGTGGGATTCATGGGTGCCCGCGCTACCACGTGGCACGATCTTCAGAAAGTCCATCCAGGTTCTTGGCTTCGCTGATGACATTAAAATCGTGGCACGGAACTTTGAGACGATGCCGGAAACGTACATCAGACTGAAGGCTGAAGCTAGGCGGATTGGACTTGCCATCAACACATCGAAGACAAAATACAGGAGAGGAAGAGGTGCTAGGAAAGACAATGTTAGCCTCCCAACCCGAGTTCAGATTGACGGTGACGAAATCGAGGTGGTCGACGAGTTCGTGTTTTTGAGCTCACTGGTGACCGCCGAAAATGATACCAGCAGAAAAATTCAAAAACGCATTATGGCAGGGAATCGAGCCTACTTTGGACTCCGGAGGACGCTCCGGTCGAATAAAATTCGCCGTCGCACGAAATTTGTAGATAGATAGACGCTGATTAGATCGGTGGTCCTTTACGGCCACGAGACCTGGACTATGCTCGTGGAGGACCAACGCGCCCTTGGTGTTTTCGAACGGAAGCTGTTGCGTTCCATCTACGGTGGAGTGCAGCTGGATGACGAAACGTGGAGGAGGCGAATGAACCACGAACTGCACCAGCTGCTGGGAGAACCATCCATCGTCCACATTGCAAAAAATGGGCGACTACGGTGGGCTGGGCACGTTGTAAGAATGACGGACGGCGACCCAGTTAAAATGGTTCTCGAAAGCGACCCAATAGGAACAACAGGGCGCGCAGCGAGCAAGGTGGATCGACAAAGTAGTAGGCGACCTTCGTAGACTACGAGGCTGGCGACGTATGGCCATGGATCGAGTAGAGTGGAGACGACTTCTTCGGACAGCAGAGGACAACAAGGCCTTAGCCTGATTGGTAAGGTAAGTTAACACTCCAAACCAGTGGTGGCACGAGTCCTGGAGTTTAACATTTTTTCCTTAACATTTGATACTTTTTGCGATAACCATTTTGACGACACACAAAAACAAACTGGCAAGCTGCAAAAATGTCATGACATTTCTAAACTGCTTTCTGCCAGCGACAGAACATTTTTGCACAAAGAAGCATACAAGACCGGCGGCGCGCGCGACATAAATTTATGTCGTGTAGAATTTTGCTGATTTCTGGCTAATTACTGCATTTATTTGATGTTTATTGCATGGAATTAAAAGATAAGAATGAAGACTGACCACTCATAAGCATTGATGTTAAAATTATGCGTAAATAAGGGAGTTGGTAATTTACTGTCACATGCAAGCCTGCAGCTAAAATTTCATTACAATAAACTGTTTGGAAAAATCAGGCTGCGAGATTTTATTTATTCTCTATCTCCGTTGTTCGCTTGGAATGTAGTTATAAACGGCCGCCCGTGTGCTGGCTGTTTTGTTTCGCTCTGGACGATGGTTTTTCAAAAAATGTACTGTTGCCACCTCTGCTCCAAACACGATGCCTCTCATAAAATGTATAACGGCAAACTTGCAATGTTTGAAACATCATAGCTCAGTCATTTATTGACAAATTTCAAATCTATTGGCGCCACTTGAAACCACAGACTTTAAAGATTTATGCAGCATTAAAAGATTTCAAATCTATCGATAAATTGCTGAGTAATCATTTTTTCAAACATTGCCAATTTACCGTTACGTTTAAATATGTGATTTTGGAAAATGTTCAATGTCCGGCATCATGAATATGTATCTTTGTTCTAGATTATTGAAAATTTCTTCAAGTATAAAGCCAGTTCTTCTTCTTATTATTGTTCGCATTTCAAGCTTATTGGTTATCTCATATGACTGGGCTATAAGGAAAGGGGTGTACGTGACTTTGATCGATTCTATTCATCGACTTTCTCTTTCGTTAATAATTCAGCTGCAAACACATTCCTTGATTCTTGTGCCATTCTGGATGCTAGATGAGAACCTCCTTTATCAAACTATGTGGCAGATATAGCGCAAAATCTGTTTATAAAGCTGTGAAAAGAGAAAGTCGATGAAGAGAATCGATCCCCTTTCCTTCTAACTCCCTCATATTAGCTTATTGGCGTTGACGGCACCGTCGAAAAATCGTCTCTTCTAGAAAAGATTGACAGTTTCTTATGGGATTTTTCGGTGGAGTGAAAGGATAGTACGAAGTCCGCCATGTTTCACGCACAGTCTGACGTTTGCTTATGGATTTTACCATAGGAGTAAAGAGCTACAGAGTCGCCGTCAACGCCAATTGCGTGCTTTCACTTAGGTCGCTGTCATAGTGGGAGCGAAGAGGCGCGCTTAGCGTTCTATACAAAATAATTCCTATTATTGATCAGTGACGATGTTAAATAAGAGACGCGCGAAGACTGAAGCCAAAAGTTCCAATCGAACCGTCAAACGCGGTTCCAATCGAGCAATGTAAATAAACACAAGCGCTTCACGAAGATAGTAAAATTGGTGAAAGACCTAAAAAGAGAGATTTCACTCATACATGGCAGGAAGCAACAATCGCAGATTGAATAATTTTGTGCAACGCTCTGTAGAATATACCCTCCAATGTGGTAATTTTGGTTTCACTTAGAGTTGTCGAAAATTGTGCCTTTAAATACTTCCATTGAATAGCGATACTACCGATACGGTTGAAAAAGTATTCATTTTACCGTGATGCTGAAACAGATGACAGTCACTCAAATTAAATGTCACTTGAAGTAAACACAAAATTGCGGGTTGCCAAACCTTGCAGAAAAATAAATTAGTTGGCCGTGAAATCAGATTTACTTTTATTCTCTCCGCACGTCTCGCCTATGTTATTGAAATTCTTCTTCGCTCTCAACCTGGTCTATACAAGGTGTGGAGATCTAGCCCTGACGTATGGGTTGGTAGAGGGAAAAATGTAAACTTTGTGGGAGACGATGGTGACGACGTCATAACACTCGAAAGGAAATTTGCGAAATAAGAAGTAAAACAAATCCTAGCTATTTTAGCATGATGATTTTGCTTGACTGTATTCTTTTGTAAAGTCGCCGCGAAATATCAGCTGGTGATTTGTTAACTCCTTACTTGAAAACAGGCAAAAACTCACAAACCGGCCGCTTTTTCATGGTATACAGTGTGATAGTTCAATAATTAATAAATTATCTCAACATTTAGTGGCAGACCATTCGTAAATTTTGGTAACATACATAAATTCTATCATCCACATTAATTTTCCTATGCAAGCGCCGATCGAAACAAACGCTATGACGTCACTACAAGGGTGATTGAGTGAACGAAAGAAACGAATCGTGCGAAGCGGAATGAAAGCCGAATGAAAAACGAAGTGCACCAATACATTCAGGCCTTCAATTCCACACCTTGTATAGACCAGGTTGCTTCGCTCTCACTATGGCAGCGACCTTAGTGTTCTACATGCACTTCTACAGTTATTAATTGATTCGATGCCTGTACCATTTCTGGAATAGTATAATTATGTGGCAAATACATTCATACTCTATGCCAAAGGGTGTGTTATAATTCATCTCAACCAATAGGAAGGGGGATCACAAAACTTCACGATCACTCTATTTTACAATCTAAAGGACGAGTACAAGGAGTGCAGCTCTACGTGTAATGCATTGTTAAACCAGTTCTACACCTACGGGAAAAAGTTCCACTGTTCTTCTCCCGTTTCCACCAACTATGCCTAACACCGAACTGGACCCCTTTACCAGTTCATAAACATGCTTACATAAATGTTTGTTTATACACAACACGAAAACTACATCAACACGGATCATAAAACTAAGTTCATTGATTTGATTTCGTTGTTCTAAGCTTAGCGCGGATTATTCTACAAAACACACATACTTGTGTCGCAAAAAAATAAGAAGGCAAAGGAAAAGATGAGGACAGCGCGCGATGGACTAGAATCAGTGGTTCAATTTTTCTTTATAAGCTTCCGTCCCGCCCCCTGTTACTGGTTGATCGATATAGCGATCGTTGGAATGTTTTACCACCCCTCTCTTCTAAGGTTGGTAGGTATAGGTGCAGAGAACAACAAAAAGCAAACAATTTGAGAACGGGGAAATTTGCGTCGATCAACAACTGCTGCAACGGTTACGAATAACAATGTTATAGAAAGATGCAACGAAAGAAGAATTAAGATGTGTTAAAGAGTTCGTTGTATGACTGTTATACACATTTCCCGAGAGAGAGAAAAAACGCACATCGAATGTAACAACAACACACGACAAATGATTAAACATTTCCCTACGGTGGTGGTGATGAAAAGTTCCATCATTTCTACCAGGGGAGGAGGAAACACGAAGGCGCACACGCGCGCGAGCTTGGGATTAGTTAACTTAAGGATTCGGCTTTTAATTGAAGCGTGTTTTTTTTTTGGTTACCTTTACATACGCTGCAACTTGTTCTCATCTCATTTCAAAAAACGAAACAAAATAAACATCCCTTAAAATAGTGCCTTAATACGTCTAGTTATGCAACTCATCTCATCTTACTAGCTCTCAATCGTTATTCACACTCTTAAAAGAAAGAGAGAGAAAAAAGAAAAGAAAATAGATAGTTTATTCAAAAAGTTCGGATTTTCCATTTTTTTTTAAACGTTATAGCTTTTACATAGCTTGTTCTCATCCTAATTACTACTGCTTATAGTTTGTTCAAAATGTTTTGATTTTAATCTCGTCAATTTTTTACGATTTTTTTTTGCATTGTGGTAATGATAAGGGTAAATTAATACAATTGGGAAAATATGGTCAATGGTCAAGGTGGTTGTTGTTGTTGTTGGTTTTGGACTAAGAGCTTCTCCAAACAATCACATCCCATACGCTTGTGGAACCGAATGTAATGATTCAAAAGCGAAACGGTTAAACAATAGGAAAGAAATGGGAAGTTTTGCCTCGTAGGTTGCGGATCCACCGCTCTCTGTCGGAGTGCATTGTCTAAGTTAGGATAGATAGCTGTACACAGACGCACACACACACAACCCATACAGCCTCTCTGCTCCTGGTAGAGTCGACTTGAGGGTGGTGTGAGTGGTGGCGGATAGGATTGTTGTACAACAGGTTGTAATAGATTGGGCGGTTGTTGTTGTTGTTGATGATGATGATGATAATGTTCACGCACCTACAAAACCGTACACTTCGAGCACTCGTATTTCAAAATCGCCAGAGGCACAGAGCGGCGGATTGTTGAATGTCTGGCAGCGGTCCGTCTTGCCGAAGCGAATGTTTTCGTCCATCCAGATTGCTTGTCCTTGACTGAAAAAAAAAACGAAAAAAAAAGTGTTTTTATATGGTTATAATAGAGGAAATCTACGAATTCTTCATTAATATTTCAAAAGGGCTTTATAAGTAAAAAATCTCGGGAATAAACGCTCACATATCAAGATCAACAATATTGAAAACGCCTCAACTCCATTTTGTAAACAAACCTTGTAAGGCCATTTTCTCAATCTTGATATACAAACTAATAACATCACCAAGTAGAGGAATGTTTCCCCTACCAACTGGTATGGTTAGCTTTAGGGTTTTTTTTTTTTTTTTTTTTTTTTATTATAGTCGCTTTAACACTCTTGGGTCATTCGTGACTTGTCCGGGGGTGAGATTTGAACTCGTGACTTTGGCGTGAGAGGTATGGATGTTAACCACTACACCGGGGTCGCCCCAGCTTTAGGGTTGTCAGTACCGGACCCTTTTTGCGAGTACCGGTATTACGATACCGAGAGATTCAGTACCGGTGAAATACCGGTACCAAGGAATTTTATAAATGGATATCGAAAGAAAAAATAAGAAAACACTATTTATATAAAGGAGTTTGGCCAGGTGTAGTACATATTTCACATCAATTCCTCGGTCACAACTTCAAATCTTTTTTGCAAGACAAGTCCCGAATAACCTAAAAGCGTTAAAGCGGCTATAATGAAGAAATTATGCGTTTATTCAATCTCCAGAATATCATATTATCCCACGTATTTTTATGATTATTCATTTCCAAAACCCGCAGTACCAATGTACATTTTAAGCATTGCCTTATGCGAGAACTAACAATGGCTTTAAACGCAAATTCCTCGAGAATCAAAGCACATCCAAGCAATTTAACACCGTCTTCTGATAGAGCAAGCTTCCTTTATCGAATGGCATTGTTAGTTTGTGTGGGAGTGTTTTGATTCTTGAGAATTTTGTGTTTAAAGCCATTGTTTACGTTTGGTTGTTCCGCCTATTTCAATTGTTGGTCTAGATTTCCAGACACATACAAAAGCTATCACTAATTCATTCTGAATAAAAAGACTGAATTGGGTAAAGAGGTGACATCTTATCCATTTGACAGGTCGCCTCTTTATAAATTGAGCCTCTTTAATTCTGAAGAATGGTAAACCCTAGGGGCGGGACAATTGGATCAATATATCAAATTATTTCGTTGATATTTATGATTACTCAATTACGTATTTGTCGGTGTTTTTCCTACCAAGAATTAGAGATTTTATGTAATCTTGAAAAATGTTCAATATCTATGTTTTGTTTTCCGTGTAGTCAGTCAATTGGGTTGTTTAACTTAGAAAAATATACCAATTTTTATACATCATCTGATAGAGCTTCGTTTTCTGAGCACAACAATATTTCTATAAATCCCGTAGACATTCATCTCGATTCTTAAATCAAGATTTAAATGTTTGATCGTTGGCACTAAATCTATCCGCTGACAGCTCGCTCCCATACAAAGTCCCACCAAGGTGCGCTAAGATGGTGATTTTCGTTAATGTAATCGTACTTATTTAAAATAGTTCTAGTGTACCAAAATTGACGAAATTTTGGATTTTGGTTCCATTTTTAATGCAGATAACGAATATGTATTTACCTCAATACCCCTAAACAACCCAATTTGATCGAACACGATGCATTTTGCAACTTTAACCCAAACTGATGAGTTTTTTTTACGTTTAATCGACTTTCTCTGCCTGTCTTCTAGCGGAGATGCTATTTTCTGTTTCTCCCTTTTTTGGTCCCCTATTCCGTTAGTCATACACACCTAATCTAGCTCGATAAAATCTCCAACAGCCGATTACTTCGGCATTCACTTTTGCTGACATCTCTGCAAAATATCACTGTTTGTTAACTGATATCTCAGCAAAATGTTATTTCTCGCGTAACATTTGAAAGGGGCCTATGATTGTTGATTGATTCTCTTCATCGACTTTCTCTTTGGTTTACCACGGCTACATAAACGAATTTCTTGCTTAACTCGCAGCACAGTGCGACAGAAGATGATGTTAGCTTGCACCTGTAATAACACACTCAATGGAAAATTCAGTTGCAGTCGGGTTATTCGCGAAAGAGAAAATCGATGAAGAGAATCGATCAACAATGATAGGTCATTTTCTCGTGTTGCGCGAGATTTGTTAGCTGAGTCTCGGCAATTGTTTGACTGAATCTCAGCAAAATAAATTGCAGAATTACTCGGCTGTTGGAATCTCGGCGAAAAAATTTAAGTGTGTACTAACACTTACTTGTTATGATTAGACTAGAGTCGGTGAATAATGAGTCACGCCAAGAGAAAAACAGTTGAACTCGCATCACGGTTTTCGAAAGATTCCCTTTCGTTTCACTTGGCAACAGAGGACTTCAACATCAACTTCAAATGACTTTCAAGCGAGAAAAAAAAATAGCGGCTGCAGTAAATCATTATATCAGTAGTTTTGTCAAATTATCTTAACAAAAAATAGTAGAAATTCTGATCATTACCAAACGTATCCCATGACAATTTAATGTTCATTGCGTGTTTATGATCATTTCTTCGATTATATTTTATATTTTATTGTAATGCCTTTCGTGGACCTTTCATAGCATCGTAATATTTTTTTACTTTGCACGATAGGTAGCCGGTTTGACAGTTCAATAGGTAGACTTGGCTTCACTTTTGGCGTGACTCATTATACACCGAGTCTAGATTAGACTATCCAATGTGTGAGATTGAAGAACTGATTGCTCGGTCCAAAAGTCCAAAATTGCGCGTGATTTGTTTTCATCCTTCTCTCGCTCGCAAAGGTTTTATGTTTCGCGAAGCCTTCTTAAGACGGCCTACCGATAACTACCGATAAAAGTTTTGAGAAGCTACCGATAATGAAAAAATAATCTGGCCACCCAGTTACTTGCAGATATCTAGATAGAGCTATAGATGATTTCTAGGAATTCAAGGCACGCCCACGCAGATCAACATAACCATCGGATAGGGAAAGTCTTTCCCTACCCGATGAGGATGTTGGTTTGCGTGGGCGAGCCTTGAATTTCTAGAAATCATCAAGAGAAGTCATTGTTTACAAAAACTCTTAGGCCCTAATTCCAGCTCTATTCAGATAAATATAACATTGAAAACTTGTGTTTATTAGAAACCGGCAAAAAAGGGGGTGGTCTCCAGCGGCTAGGGGTAGGCCGATTGGCTTAAGACTATGGATTTTACAATATGAAATAGAATTGTTGTTGTTATTCACATCGTCTTGATTTTGCGCTGTTAAATTTGATGATTTTTTATCACACGGTCTATCATTCTTCGTTTTTCCCGTTCTGTAGACTTGCAAAATTGTACCGGTTGGAGCATATTTCTTGTTGTGAAAACTGTGAAAAAGTTATCTAATCGGACATCTTGTAGTGTTAATGTTGTGTTATTGTCGATGTCAGACGCTCTGCGTATCAGAGCATCTCCACCGCTGTTTCTAAATTGAAACTGTTTCTGAGTCAGCATGACTTCCGCCTATGACCAATGCGCTAAACCAGTTAAATGTGACGAAGAATTCGTTTCCTGCATGGCTTTTTGCGACAGGATGATTCACCTGAAATGCGGTGGCACAAAGTTGAACAAGGCTTTTCTGAATATTGTCCACACTAGCCCGAACTTGTTTTGGATGTGCAACGAGTGCGCTAAGCTGATGAAATGTGCTCGGTTAGGAAGGAAATGGCTAAGTAAGGACAGCAGATCGCTCAGCTGTCGAAACGAATCGCATTGACAACTCCAACACACTTGGGTTCCGGCGATCTTATGCGTCAAGCACCATTAAAATGGCGCCACGACGAAGGCTCGCTCACCAGTAAACCACTTGTTGGTGGCACTAAAGTAACGGATGACAATGTCTTTACCGAGGTCCTTACTGTTCCTGAACCCAGCGAACTGTTTTGGCTGTACCTTTCTCGTATACATCCTAGCGTGAAATCGGAATCAATCGAGAAGCTGGTTAAAGGTTGTCAATTTCATCTCGTACAAAGTCGGATTGGTTCCCAAACCACCGACAAACCGACATGACACTTAATTCTGACTAAGGGGAAACGCTCCTATAGTTGCGGTACGTTAGAAGCGGTAGGTTCCTATATTTGTGCATGGAGACTCAATACCCAACTATAGGAACCTAACGCTTCTAACGTACCGCAACTATAGGAGCGTGTACCCTATGTCCGAAAATCGTAAACAGCCGATTTAAATGTGCAGATAAAAATAATTTGTCCAGAATAGATCAGACACGAACCAATTCATAACTTTTGCATGCGGGTTCATGGCTTACCTAAATATTTCCCGCAAACACGAAGCCGGATGTCAGTAGTGTGCTTTGGTCAGAAATTTTATTGTTTTCACCATGGTCATTAGACTGATGCAAATTTTGAGATTTTTGCTCCACAGTGCTCATACGGTTTAAAATCGGGTCCTGACTAGCCTCCCAAAATTTGAACTCATTCGATAAGAAACTGACTTGGCACAAACCATTTGAAGTTTATATGGGAATTACTATGGGAAAACTTATTTTTTTGTTCATATCTATCTAACAATTCACCACATCACCATGCTTTTGAAAATGATTGCAGTGATTGTAGAAAATTTTCTCAGCTACAACTTTGTTCATACCCACTTTTCAATCAAATGTAAGGAACAAAAGTTATTAATGATTCAAGTCACTGATGTCTTATGATTATGCTCATTCAACTGTTCAGCAGGCAACATTGGTGTTTCTGGCGCTTGGAATAGAGCACAAAAATCATGGCTACTATGTCACACTGCAGAATACAGTGTTGCTCACAAACAGCTGCTTGATCATGCCATAAGATTATCAATCTCTTAAACAATTAATAACTATTTTATTTGACGTTTAACTCAACAACTATATTATGCTAAGTTGAAGCTGAGAAAATTATCCATAAGGGTATAGCTTTTGAATGTTTGAACAGTGCAATATGGAAAAAGGTAAGAAGATAATGAACAAAAAGTTTGGATTTCCCATAGTAATTTCCATATAAACTTCAAATGGTTTGTGCAAAGTCAGTTTCTTTTCAAAGGAGTTCAAATGTTGGGAGACTAATCAGGACCCGGTTTGAAACCGTTTGAGCACTGTGGAGCAAAAATGTCAAAATTAGCATCAGTCTAATGGTCATTCATGTCGGTTTGTCGGTGACCCCCCCCCCCCACAAAGTAGCTCTTACATCGGATACATGGCCGAAAGGAATTATGTTCCATGAATTTGAAGACGGTTCAAAAAACATGTGGATGCCTCGTTTGAACACGCCTACCATCACGATCTATCCTGTTCCGGGACCTTCCGGACTAGACCCAGTATGCTGATTCAGAATTGGATGCCGCGATGTGAATTGAAACACTGTAAACAGAACGCACTGCCTGTCGCATTATGGGAGACCTCGAACCACTCGATCCAGTCACATTAGCAGTTTCCGCCATCAAAGTCGTTCTATTTCCTGCCATCAGCGTCGTTCTGGACCTGCGGTCGAGTTCAGTGGTGGGGTCTCCCAACCATCGTCTTCAGGCAAGTATGCATACTTTAGTTACAGTAATTTTCCTGATCAGCTTCCGTGTTCCAGTGCAACGCATCAAGCGTCTACCGGCTGTTTCCAGTTGAGAAGCACTTCTGATACTGCTCATTCACAACATCCGCCTTACTGTTCGAACAATCCTAATTCAACACCGGGACGCACAATATAGACCGCTCTTTGGAAGCTCCTGGTTCCTCCAGCACAGTCGTGCCGATTCCTGCCAGCGCTCATCATAGTCGTGCTGCACCTGTGGCTGGATATGAATCAGGAGTCTTCCACCTTGTTTCTACAGCCAGTGCAATCAATATATTGACTATTTACCGCCTAATGCCGATCAAATTTTCAGCAATTCGGACTATGTTAGTCATTGTGATGATGCTTCTGGAACTCCCAATCCTGGGAACCCGAACGTGCCGTAGAAAGTCCCATAGAAGCCCCCCATCCCTTCGTCTCAGTCCTGCCATCAGCAGCCTTCGTTCATCATAGTCGTTCCGGCCCTGCTGTCGGATGTGGAGAGGCGGTCCACTTACTATGGCGAGTATTCAATCACACTTGATGATGGTCAGTTATTGCCTGATGTATCTGTGACTTTCAGGGAGAACAGTCGTTCGATTCCTTGCCGCAAGCAGGACGTCGTGATCTTCTACCAAAACATTCTGATGTGGAAGAGTACCGGCTAGCTGTATCGTATCGTTGCTAGGATGTAATTGTCCTGTGCGGAACGTGGCCCGATTCTCGAACGCTTTCCAGTCATGTCTTCGGTCCTGACTACTAGGTCTTTCGTTGCGATCGGAATCATAACAAAAGCCGTAAATCTACTGGTGGAGGTGTCCTTGTAGCTGTCCGTGGCGGGTTGGAGGCAAAGGCCATCGAGAACGGTTCATGGAACTATGTGGAGCAGGTTTGCACAGCCTGGGAGATCGTACACTATTTTTATGCGCTCTGTACATTCCCCCTGATCGAGTCCGGGACATTGAACTCATCGATACTCACTGTTGGTCAGTTTTCACAGTTATCGAAAGTGCCACTCCAGTTGATGGGATATTCATTTTGGGTGACTTCAATCTGCCTGGCGTTTCGTGGAGTCCATCTCATAGCGGATTCCTGTATCCAGATCCTGATAGTTCTCCATTTCACGCAGGAGCTATTAGCCTTCTCGACAACTAAAGCGCAGCAACGCTTTCTCAAATTAACCATGTAGTTAACGAAAATGATCGTAGTTCGAACCTCTGCTTCGTGAGCACTCAGGACAGGGCTCCATTAATTTCATAGGCTCCTTGTGCACTAACTAAGCTAGTTCTTCTGATTGTCACTGTTGAGGACAAACTCGTGCGTGATTCCGACGATTATCCTACTGCGGTTTCTTATGACTTCCGTAAAGATGACCACCGTAGCATCATAGATGTATTGTCTAGCATGGTGTGGGAGAACATCCTTGATCTAGATGACGTTGAGGCTGCAGCGCAAACCTTTTCATATGGCTTGGCATATGTCATTGACAGACACGTCCCGAAAAGAACTCATCACAAAGTTTCTCACCCTCCTCCCTGGCAGACGATAGAGCTACGTAGGTTGAAGATTTACGAAGTATCGCACGCTTCCTTTGAAACTGAAACTACATTATTTGAGGCTGAATCACATGTACCAGCGAGTCAGTCGTGAATGCTTTTCAAGTTTCCAATGAGGCATCCAGTGCAAACTTAAGCTACACCCGAAATCCTTTTGGAACTACGTGAACGAGCAACGCAAGGAGTCCGGCCTCCCATCGTCTATTGAATTTAACGGAGAAGTTGCTACCACCGTTCAGGATATACGGCGCCTTTTTTTCGACAAGTTTGCCAGTGTATTCACTAATGAGATACTAACTTACGACCATATTATGATGGCTGCCAGGAACGTTCCAGTAAATGATCAAACGCTGGGTGCAATTGATGCTGAGATGTTGTCCAAGGCCGCAACTCTGCTTAAGTCATCCTTCAATCCTGGAGCTGATGGAGTTTCATTTGCATTTTTGAAGCGAAATATTGCTATCTTGTTAATTCTGCTTCATCGTCTGTCCCGCATGTCTCTCTCCAGTGGCATATTTCCATCCTGCTGGAAATTGGCGCACATGTTTCCCGTCCACAAAAAGGGAAGGAAACGAGCTGTGGATCACTATCGAGGAATTACATCGTTAAGTGCCGTTTCGAAGCTATTCGAGCTAGTGATTATGGAAGCGTTGCTGTCCCAATTCAAGCATTATTTGAGTGCTTATTAACATAGCTTTACTGTCGGCCGCTCTACAACCACCAATCTGCTGTGTTTTACATCGTATATAACCGAAAGCATGTCGGATCGGGTTCAAACGGGCGTTATTTATTCAGACCCATCCGCAGCATTCGACAAGTTGAACTATGCTATTGCGATTACTAAACTCGACAGGCTCGGTGTACGCGGTAATCTTCTGAGTTGATTTCGATCGTATCTTACCGGTCGCCAACTAAAGGTTGCCATAGAAGATTGCAGATCAGCTAGCTTCTTCACCACATCAGTTATTCCTCAGGGAAGTCGGCTGGGACCGTTGATTTTTATACTGTACTTCAACAACGTGCAGCTGGTCATCGAAGCTCCTCGGTTATCATATGCAGATGACCTCAAAATATTCCAACGAATCTGCTCCATTGCTGACTGTCACTTTCTTCAACGTCAGCTGAATGTATTCGCTAGTTGGTGAAGTTTAAACAGAATGGTAGTGAACCCAGCCAAATGCTCCGCTATTACAAACAACAACTGATAATATTTAGCTATGATCTGCTTGGCTCGACAATCGAACGCGTGAACCAGGTGAAAGACTTGGGTGTGAGCTTGGATTCGCAGCTATATATCATTCAAGCAACACATTGCATATGTTGACGATAAGGCGTCAAGAACTTTAGGGTTCATTCTTAGGATAGCTAAAAACTTCACCGATATCTACTGTCTAAAATCTCTCTATTATTCGCTTGTTCGATCAACGCTTGGGTATTGCTCAGCGGTTTGGAACCCAAACTACAACAACGGTGCCGAGAGAATTGAATCTATTCAACGTCGCTCTCTTCGTTTCGCGCTACGTAGTTTGCCTTGGAATGATCCGTTTCGATTACCCTTGATTATCGACCTTGAACTTCTCCGGACTAGAAGAGGCACAAGCAGAGCCCTAACTGTGGCCGATATCCTGCAAGGAAGGACAGATTGCGAGGCTATCCTGAGGCAAATTGACCTGAATGTTCAACCCCGACCGCTTCGTAATAACCTTATGCTAAGGACTGCCTCAACGTTGCACAAATTATAGAGCATACGGTGCGATTTTCGTACTGCAGAGAGTAGACCTTAATCTCTCCCGTAATGCGTTTCGTCGAAAGATTTCTTCTGTTTTCGCCGGCAGGAGTAACTGACTACCTATAAGATATATGTTTTTTAACATTTCTTATGTCATGACCATGCTTGAATGTAGGTATTTCTTTTACTATAGTTGATAAGGTTAACATCATTGGGAACTGGCTAGGTCACTTGAGATGAAATGACCCATATGTGTCCCATTCTTAGAGTGGTAGATTCTAATGGAAAATTCTAAATAATTCCAAAGGTACTTACCCTCCCCCGATCGTGATCATCTTGGAATCGGCGGCCATAAACAGTTCTGACGCGTGGCCCAGGCCCTTGTCACCCTCGATGCCGACCCAGGGATACTTTGCGCGCTCCGGATAGAGAGAGAACAGGAACGTTTCGCCGGTACCAAAGTACGCTTGCCGCTGGCCGCGGTCGTTCCTCACGTTACGCTCGTACCACCGTGACGAACAGTAGGCACCAAACACCTAAGGAGATTGAGGAAAGGTTCATTTAGTAGTTGTAAATAGGATTAATTTCGACTTCGAAAAAAAATTACCTCATTATTGCAGGTTTTGATCATCAGCAATGTGGGTTCGTGCTGTTCGACTCGTACGTAGAATGTCGTCAGTGAGCAACCGTGCTCCTCCGTTGTGTAGAGCAGTACAGGTTGGTACATTGTTATTCTAACTGGCAGCCAGGACCAAAGCGTAAAAAGCTGTTGGTATCGTCGTTGGAAGGGAAAGAAGAACGAAAGCCGTCAGCGAATAATGTTGGTATTTTACGACACGCTATTCAGAATGCACATTGTGACAATCGCGTTAGTAAAAAAAAAAGCCAATGATGGAAAGCTACAATGTTTCACACCTTCACAAAAATGACGAAATATCAATCACTCTTAGTACAAACACACATAACATTCACACTACCTCCGTATAGCAAACGTAACATAATTAGACAACATAGAAGCCAGTTAGTAACACTTACGTCATCCTGATCACAAACTTTACTCTTTATTGATTGAGTCGGGAAAACTCCCATCGATAAAACTCTGACATCCGGAGAATGGGCACCCTACCGGCACAGCCAGGCAGAAGTATTTGCGTATCCGATTAATTAACGCGCGCGATTCGCGGAAATCGATTTGCGAGCGTGATCGAATTAAGAGGAACGATTTCCATACAAGAGGCGCGAAAATTGGATCAAAGAATTTTTTTATCGATGGTGGATTTTCCGAAACCGTAGTGAATTCATTAGTTGATTTTTTTTTCCATTTGGGGGATGGTGAGTATGTAAGAGTAGTGCGTGGAATTAATTGTTTAGTAATGGTATTCCCATTGAAAAGCAGCGTGAATTAGAAGGGGAGAGAAAAGGAGAAAACGGTTAGATGCGTTTGATGGAGGCCTTATTGGAGTACAGTGGGAGTAATTGTGCCTTTTGGAAGAATTTATTGAAGATAAGAAATTGTAATTCACTACACATTGCGAAAGAACATCGTTTGATAACTCATAAGAAAGACGGGTTTCGCTTGGAAGTAAATGATTTTTCATATTCGATTGATAATTCCCGTAAAGTTCACTTAAATGTAGCCTAACCTAACCACCGTTATCAACATCTATGTCTTGACCATTCAGTTTTCTAGGTTGTTTGTGCCTTGTTTTCATAGAATCGGGTTTTATCTCGATCGTTAATTGCACGGGATCAAAAGTTTTGCAAAATTTTACGAATCTCACGTAGGTAGTCATGACATTTGATCTTCGAAACCAAAATGAATCGGAAAAAGGTCTTTGGAGCATACCTGTTTAAGATCTTCAGAATGAATTTTATCAACCTGAAGTCTTGAAAAATATCCAGAGAACACTTGACGATCTTCTGATCACCATTTTGATCAACCAGAAGTTTTGAAAAATGAATCAGAGGCAAACATTTTTGAACAGCCGAAGATCTTCATAATAATGCTTGATTAACCTGCAAAACTATCCAGAGGACTTAATTGAAATCTTCGATCAACTGAGGAACTTTGAAATATTTCCTGATCAACCTGCCCTCTGGAAAGAATATCTGAGAGATAACATTAAAATTTATGAATAGTAGAAAACAGGGTGTCCATTTTTTTCATTTCCCGGTTTTCCCGGCTATTAAAAAAAAAAACAAAATCCAAACATCACCCCTGCCTTAAACAAAAAAGGCGTTAAAAATAACCGTTTATAGATAATCATAATTTTTTTTCAGCAGATTTGCTCTACAATATGTCTACTTTGTAGAAAAAAAAATAAGATAATATTTTCATAGATCTCCAAAATCTCATGAAATCATGAATTCGTATAAAATCAAAGAGTCTCCTGTTTTGGTTTGTCGGAAAAAGCATGGCAGGAGAAACGCAGTACTAAAAGTCCTTCAAATCTTCGTGGAATTTAGATCTTGAGCTTCTATAAGCCAAACAACATTTTGTGGGATACAAAGATATTTTACCAAAATATTTAGCATTCTCCGAATTGTCCTGGAGATACTACAGGTTAATCGAAATTTTGTTCGATTTCTCGATTTTTGATCTAATTTCCGTCCTACTAAGCACATCCCGCACTTTACCTCTCTTTTTTGAAAGGGTTTGTATAAAACATGGAATGTTTTCATCAAAGATAACTTCTAAATTTATTAACCTTTCCATACGTACCGTTGAATTTGATAAAGAGTCAATCAATGTTGAGATATTATTACAAATCTAACACTGCTTCTTCATTCTAAATTCGTCCTACGAGTTTTAATTCCGTCCTAACGCATTGAAACGCCATTAGATTTTCTTCGTCCTACGGATGATGGTAAAAAAAGTGGATTCGCTAGGATTTTTTTTTTTTTAATTCTTTATTTAAGAGATTTTTAGCCTTAGGCTAGTTCATCTCTAAACGGATTCGCTAGGAGCGCTTCTTTTGTTTTGAGAACAATGAGTGTAAATATTCATACAATACGCTGTAATTGGCTTCATATTGTGGCTTATGAACTAACGGATCGGATCAAACGTATTAATGTTTTGTGCATGGTGAAACCATTGATATTATTGATGATTTCTGCTCGATAGAACGGAAATGGGCGATTACGACGAAGTAGCGCTCTTCCCTATATGATATAAAATTGATTGATTCCAAGTAACATTGCAAATTTTATAAAGATTTAAAGAATTCTTCAAGGGCAAATTATGGCTTACAAGACTATGATAAAACCAAAATTGTTACTTGGAATATGTACATATCTAGATAGAGCTGGAATTAGGGCGTAACAGCTTTTGTAAACAATGGCTTCTTTCGATGATTTCTAGAAAGCTGAGGCTCGCAAATCAACAACACCATCGGGTAGAGGAAGACTTCCCCTAGCCGACGGTTATGTGGGTTGGCGTGGACGTTCCTTCTTGAGTTACTAGAAATCGTCGATAGAAGTACGCTGTTACGCCCCAATTCCAGCTCTATCTAGATATTCTCTTTCGCTGCAATTTGGGTTTTCCCAAATTTTTCCCAGATTTCCCAGTAGGATGGACACCCTGAGAAGATCTTTAGAATAATACTTGATCAAAGTCCTCAAAAATATCCAGAGGACTTTATTGATCTATTATTGAAAATCCGTGAATATCAACGACATTATCTAGAATTCTACGAAGTTTCCTGTTCTTCCACAAAGTTCCTTAAGCTTAAACTTAAATCCATCAACTCAAACGAATCTCCCTGAACTTCTTTTTAATCTATTGAGCTCTTCTGAAGTTTCCTGAGCATGTATGAAGTTCCCTGAACTTTTGGGAACTATTTGGAAGTTCCATCAACTTCTACAAAGTTTCCGAAACTACTAAGATTTTTCCATAGCTTATGCGCAATACAACTGAAAATCTTCCAAGTTCAGTAAATTGTACCAATTTTGTATAACTTTTACAATGTTTCCTGAATATCTAAAAAGATTCCTTAGCCTTTACTTCTTGAAAAAAAAAATTCAACTTCTGTTCCCTGAACTTTTTCTAACTTTCATAGTATTTTTTTGAGCTCTTTAAATTCGACCAAGAAACCAGGACATCCATGAACTTTTACAAACTTCCGGGAAGATCATGAACCTTTTTTACAAATGTTCCTGAACATAAATGCGAGACTTAGTAAATCACTGAAGTTCTAAAAAGTTTGCAGAACTTCTTCGATATTTCCTGAGCTTCTATGAAATTCCCTGAACGTTTACGAAGTTCGCTGAATTTCTGTATAGATGGCCGAACTTCTACGAAGTTCCCCAAACTTTTACAAATTTCCTTGCACTTTTTTTGAAATTTTACGAAGTTTCTCGAATTGCTACGTAATTTGCTTAGTTTCTAAAATGTGTACCTTATATGCTAGTATTTCAGCACTTTTACGAAGATTCTTGGATTTTTGAGACTTAAATTGATTTTCTGCGTATTTCCCTGACAACGGTTCCCGAACTTCTACAGAATCCACTGAGCTATTGCAAGTCCATTAAACTTGAACGAAGTGTCCCCCTTTAATAAAGTTGCTTGAAATTAAACAATGTTCTCTTAACATAACGTACACTGAAAAACGAATCTTATTCAGAAATTGAGTTACTTTTACTAATTATTAGGGGAAATGCCGGCTTCGGCAACACCTTAACCTATTATCTACAAGGGGGTAAACAAAGTTCCAGAGCACTCAAATTTAGCTAATAGATTCTCTGAAACACATTGTATCTACATGCCAAAATTGAGCTCTCTAGGACATTGTTTAACTCCTAACGATAATAGGTTAAGGTATTGCCGAAGCCGTCATTTAACTTATTTACTTTATGGAGAAATTTCGAATAGCGTAGGTTACTCATGCGATAAGTGATTTACGCTTTTAGATTGTTCTCCATACGCATGAGTAAAAGTGACTCACTCTTTGAGTTAGTTTCGTTTTCAGTGAAGCTTCCGAGTATTGTACAAGTTTCCCATTTCTACGAAGTTTTCCAGACAAAGCTCCCTGAATTTCTACTAAGTTCTCTGCAGCTCAACAAAGTTCCCAGAATTGCTAATGCCTCCTCACCAGAGCTGGTAAATATCACGGTCATGTGACGATGAGAAAACAGGTCCTCTTACTATCACGAGACGAAACTACCGATCATTAGCTTTCTTGTCATTTTTAATGATCAAGCAATGGGGGTGACCTCGGCGTAGTGGTTAGCATCCATACCTCTCACGCCAAAGTCACGAGTTCAAATCTCACCCTCGGACAAGTCACGAATGACCCAAGAGCGTTAAAGTGACTATAATAAAAAAAAATATGATCAAGCACTCATGAGAATAATTCTGATGCGGTTTTGACATCAACATTCCTAATTGATTTAGATGAATTTAAGCAAACGACCGTATGTAATCAGTAGAGTGAATATATTATTAAGATTTTCTCGGTACAAGTAACTTTAATATAATTAAATGAGCTAGTAATAACGATGATCGCCACACTGTCACGCTCTGTCATGACACAAAATTCGATTAGATTTGTGCGACTATTTATACATTTCATTTGACACAAGATCTTCATTAACTTTTTTTCAAGGCACCTGCTTATTAGTTGACTTATACATTTTACGAATAATCAGTTATAGAAATTTGCCAAAAGGTATATGGGGATTTATATCCGTGTACGAAATGCTCTGATATGAAAAGACGTTCTCTTAACTTCTACAAATTGTCCTTGCCTTCCAATAAGGTCTTGGAACTTCTGTAAAGTCATTTCATAAATCCGAAATATTGAACACCTTCCCTCGCCGGAAAATTTTATAAGTAGCGGTGTAGACATGTGAACAAATTTCGTCGATCTCGTTGAAGATTTTTTGTTAATACACCTGGCATCCCTGCCGAGAACATGGAAAGCAGTGTTTGCAGTGGAAAAAAGAAATCCAAAATATTGATGATGAATATTCGAAAATGATTGAGATAGGAACAGCGCAACTTTTACAAACTTTTATGGCACCGCCACGATACGTATTATTATCGAGGACCAGCGCAGTCTGCATTCATAAAAATAAACATATTTTTATTAATGAAACATTCAAGAGTAAATTTTCAAATAGCCGTATCTGCTTTTGTAAACAAAGATTCGAACGTCAATGTGTGGAAGCTCTTAGCTCACCCACGCAAGCTAATAGCACCATCAGATAGGGGAATTTTGGTGTTCGTTTGCGTGGACGAGTTGAGACTTTCGACAAATTGACGATTGAATCTTTGTTTACAAAAGCTATTTGAATATTCATTCTTGAATTCAGGGTACCTTCCAATCAATTTGGCTAAACAATGTTTTAAGAAATTATGGAATAATAAGGTATTATGAAAATATTTTGATTGTGTAAGCAACAAGAAAAGATTGTGAAATTTGAGAGCCGCAATAAGCGATTTTGTAATTTATCTCACCCACTCTTCGCGAAGAGGCGATCAGAAAAACGCTCATTGTGACCAGGCTTGCCAAAAGCTCCATCAAGAGTCATCAATAAGCTGAGCTCCAGCATATTTTGATGATGAAATATTTTGCTCTCACGGAGCTATACTTGAAGCTCAAGCTGGGCTCTTGCCAACCCGCATCTTTGTGAAGGATGCGGAGCTCGTTCTCGGGTGTACATCGACTCTGCCTGCCGAGCAGAAATTTTAACTTCGTGATGCGCTCGCGCAAAGCAGTAAACTTGGAGCTTCGTGATGTATTCGTAGAGAGCATGGCTCTTGATGGCTTCTCCCAGAGCGCATGAATGAGTGATTTTGTATTGTATTCGAGAAAGAAGTGCACAACCAAGAAATGAAAAAAAAACATTATGGAACGTATGCATACATTCCGTCACGCAAAAGTGGGAAATGGATTCATAGGGTAACTGTCTATATTCTATTCTATATATTCGTGTTGAAAATAAATGTATTGGTTTTTGTTTGGTTTGACAGCTATGCGAACAAAATAAACATATTTTGAAATTATTTTAGTGTTTGAGTGCAGGGTCAAGCAAAATAAAACGGATTGCAAAGAAATGAAAATAAAAAAGATCTTCGGGCAGGGCATCTGAATCCCTGCTTATTTTCGGCGAGGGGCTGTCAACTTGAGTATTTTCGATTCATCTACCCGACTTGAAAATGTGTATTTTGCATTTTTTCGTATTTATATATGCGGGGACCCGTCGGGGTGAAGTTGATACAGTTGGGTTCCGCCGGTTGTGTCATTTTCGGGCCGTTTTCTGTTAAGTTGAGCATAGCTGGGGCAACTTTTTCCGAATGCGTTTCTGCGACATCTTGCAACCAACTGAAGGTTATGAATAAATCGATGCAGACTCCACCTGATTTAAACAACGCTAGACCAACAATTGAAATAGGTGGAACAACAAAATGTAAACAATGGCTTTAAACATAAATTCTTCGAAAATCAAAGCACATCCAAACAATCTAACGCCATCATTTGAAAGAGTAAACTTCCTTTATCAAATGGAAATTTTAGTTTACGTGGTAGTGTTTTGATTCTCAAGAAGTTTGTGTTTAAGCCATTTCTTACGTTTGGTTGTTCTGCCTATTTCAATTGTTGGTCCAGAAAGATTTCCGAGCTACCGTGTGTGCAACGAGGGTACACGGAGAAAAAATACTACCCAAAATTTGAGTTCTTTTTACTTAATATTGACTTCAGCCTCTCACTTGCACTCGTTATTGTTGTCAAAAAAGGAACAAGAGATTCGACCCAACGATATAGTTCAGCCCAATAAGCTACTTTTGAGTAAAATGCATATTCTCAAATTTACGTGAATTAAACTTAATTTTGGGTAGAATATACTTAAGAGTAGGTAATTTTTTTTGCTGGTGTTAAATGGAAACTACTATATGCGATTTACTCAAATTTGGGTTATTGGGTTGAACCCCGGAATTGAGGGAAAAGTTCTTAATTTTGGGTAGTTTTTCATCTCCGTGTAGCGAATTGATTGAATGAACATGTTAAAAGGCAACAGGAGAATACGAAGACAGCACCAAGGGATAATCCATAAACGGAGTAATTAGTGCTTTTACTAGTTTTTGCCTCGTACATTCTAGGTCAGAAATATAATTTCGTTTATGCACTCATAAAGCACTTAGCGGAAAAAATGATCAAAGATTTTTGTGACTGAGTGGTCCGCGAGTTAAAAAAAACATCAATCTCTCAAAACGTTACGTTCTCTGGGAATGATCCTATAGTATTAGTATAGTATTGTTGTGTATCATAATATTGAATGGAAAAACCGTGCATAAATCAAAGGCCGTGCGTGCTCTCTCCGAATGCATAACGAAGCTCTATATTTACAGTTTCACCGAGTTCATCCCGAAGTTCAAAATGTTGTTTGGTAAGCAGAGCCGATGTAAATCACGCCTCACTCAAGAACGAACCCCGCATCACTCATCGTGATGCGTGTTTGTGGAAGTCCAGCTTGAGCATCAATATGAGCTCGAGCTCTTTTGCGCGCTTTGGATTTGACACCTTGGCTCTTTATATGTGAGGGATGAACTAGCTCACGATGAATGAGCATCTCTACGGCATAATCTGAGTTCGAGGAGTTTAGGCAAGCCTGATTGTGACTCTGTCAAAGCTAAATTTGCAGGTTTGATGTGTCAAACACAAACTTTACAATCTTTTCTTGTTACTTACACATACTAAATATCATCATAATATCTTATTATTCCATAATTTCATTTTTTTTTTAGCCAAAATGAATGGAAGGCACCGTGCTTGAATTACATGTCATGTGATCACACTCCAAATCTCACATAAAAATTATGTGTCCGATGTGAAGTATAGGACAAATCAAACACAATCCATGTGGTCCCATGAATGTTACGTAAACTCTGATAAATGTAATTTTGAGGAAAAACAGTTATTTGCGTTTCCAAAGGAAACTATACACAGCAAAAAAATAATTTTGATATCACATCAAAGTGGATGCACCACAATCATGTCGAAAATTTTATGTAATTTTTATGACCACATAAATAAACAAATGCAGTAAAAGCAGCGTAATGTCAGTTCATGCATTGTATTAATAATAATTTTGTCCTTTTTAGCAAGTAATATTACACCATATTAACGACATGATTGTAGTGCATCCACTTTGACGTGATATCAAAATTATTTTTTTGCTGTGTATGAACATTATTTTTCGATGTGGTTAGGCTACATTAAGGCGTGCATTTTGATTTTTGTTTTAAACTAAATCTGATCAAATCTGCTATGAACTTCACTTTTAACCTCGATACTTTCGCCAGCAATTAAATTTTTACCAATCAGATGAAGGATAAAGGGGATGATGAATACGGAAATACTAACAACAATCCGGCGCACAGCACTGGAGATTAGTAATATAATTACACCGAAAAAGAAAACAATACAAAACGCTAGGTTAGTACAAAAATTGCACCCATACCATCGCCCGACAGGAATCCCGATCTTCCTTCAACTTCTAGACAGTTTTCGTTTGGTATTTCGTGTTTCGAGAAAGGGAAAAATATGATGGAAGCAAAGGCACGTAAACGAGTTTCAATATGAGGGAAAGAAAAAAAGAGAACAGACATTTCTTAGAAACGAGTTTCATAAAAAAAAAAACTAAGGAATTATGATGACGCCCGCCAGCAGACTTAAACCCAGCCATGGAAGGATGGATATGATGAAGAACGACGGGGGCAGCCAGGACGAGAAAACTTTTCTAATAAAGTGGAAATGTTCATGTTTGGAACAGCTCCCCGGTCGGTCGTCTTTTAGTGTCAGTGTCGTCGGAAAACCTCAACCAAGTAGGAAAAATGAAATTATGGTAAACTTGGCAATGACATTGGTTTCACTCACCTCTCTAATGGTTAGTGTATGTGACATCATTTGTACGTTGACTTGGGATTGACTCGTTGGTAAATTATCGCTAGAACGTGATCTTACCATCTGCTTTGAACCACTAAGAACTGACTTACTCTTTAGTACCATTTCAGTCTTTAGAAAAATCCTAGATATGTAGGTTGAACTGAAATACAATTAACACAATTAAGTACGTGGTTAAAAATCTTTATCAGAAAGAGTAGCATCCTACCTAAGTGCTCTTATACTAAAAGCTGTCCGCAGGAGCTTGGTCGGAGAGACCGGGATGTTTTTGCAGAACTTGGGTAGCGCGTTGTCGATGTCGTTCTTGATCGTGTCGGCGTCCCACTCGGAATTGGTGGCGGTCGAGTGTTTGTGAAAGAGAATGAGGATGGCGAGGGACACCCGGTAGAACACCTTGATGCCCTCGTGGAAGAAGCAGTCCATCACCCGCACCAGGTGCGGAAACGGAAGCCCACCGAGGATCCACCAACACCAGTCCATGAAGATGCGCTCCGACTTCTGGCCCGGACATAATCTCGTTAAATACAGTACTGCGGATTTCTGTAGGGAAGGAAAATGGAAGAAAGCATTGAAAGGGGTTAAGTAAACTTTATAGCAATTTGTTAATGAACACATCGAAATAAGGCAGGTTCAATCGAATAGCCGGCATTTCTCAATCTATCGGCCGTAGCCCATCGGTGGATCGCGGGTTGGCCTTAGATAGGTGACAGGAATTCAGACAACTTGGTCATACTAAGATAAAGTTATATGGAAAATTGCATTTTTTTTTCTGTTTGTTAGCAAAAGCGATTTGAATTTAAAACTATCAAAAAGTTTTTGATTGGAAACAATGCAATTTTAATTAAACGGAATCCTTCATGAAGAGTTTCACAAATGGGTTGAGTTGTTTTCAATTCGCTGAAATTGCTATTTTAGCACCTTTTAAGTCCTTTTTGCGTATTTAAATAAAAGTTGGAGTTTCAAAGGATATTTATGGCGTCATTTTGGCCTTAAAAAAGTTATTTAAACGAAATAGGCCATGTAGACATTTTTACCGGCGTTTCGACATTTTTAAGATTATTTTGATGGCTTTAGGCCGCTTTGACGTCTTTGACGTTTTAAAAGCAATTTTATGTTCTCAGGTTTCAGTTGTAAATCACAGCTACTTAACAATCATTTTTAAATGTTTAAGCTGTTTCGGCGTTTTCATGCTAATTTTGGCATTCAAGATTGATGTTCCAACATGGCCCAATTTAAAGCAGTACATATAGGTTGGTAGATCTGCTTAAATGTTAAGTTTTTTTTATTGTGTTTTGACCATTCAAGCGTTTTATGGCTCTTTTGGTGATTGCAAAACCTTTTCGAAATTTTAAGGCCATTTTTTATTAGATACTAGCTGAGTGTGCCTGGCCTTGCTCGCGATTCAATATTAGCCGATTAAAAAAAAACATACTATATTCAGGGTGTCCATTCAAATCCAATTTTTCAATACCCGGTTTTTTTTCCCGGTTAATTAAAAAACCTCTGCCTTATACAAAAAAGACTTTCAAAATTAACCGTTTATAGATAATCATATATTTTTGTCAGCAGAATTGCTCTACAATACGTCTATTTTGTAGAAAAATATGAGATGAGATTTGCATTAATATGTTGATGTTCTAGATCTCCAAAATTTCATGGAATAATAAATTCGTATAAAATCAAAGAGTCTAGCAAAAATGAGCCTAAATGTTGTTTTGTTAAGTCGGAAAAATCATGTATTAATGGTACCTGAACAGGAGAAACGTAGTATTATTTTCTTTTAATCTTCCTGGAGTTTAGATCTTAAAGATCTATATGATGCTCTGTTTATGTGCTGTAAAAATTATATCGATACGGACCAACATGGTTTTTACCCCAAGCGATCGGTTTCCACGAACCTGGTGCAGTTTAGCTCTGACTGTCTGCGAAGCTTGGATGCTGGATGGCAAGTTGATGCTGCATACATGGACTTAAAAGCCGCTTTTGACAGGGTGGATCATGAAATCCTGCTTGCTAAGTTGGAGATACTAGGTGTCTCGTCTACGGCTGTGAAATGGTTCAGATCGTACTTAGTGAATTGCTCTGTACGAATCAAGATTGGCGCGACGGAATCAAATGTTTTCTCAAACAACTCGGGAGTCCCGCAAGGCAGCAACCTGGGACCTCTGCTGTTTTCGATCTTTTTAAACGACATCGCTCTGTTGTTACCATCTGGATGTCGTCTTTTCTACGCAGATGACGCCAAAATCTACAAAATTATCAAAAGCCTCTCGGACTGTTGGGATCTCCAGCATATGCTATGTATTTTCGCTGACTGGTGCACGAGAAATTTGATGGGCCTGAGCATCGAAAAATGCAACGTCATCTCCTATCACCGTAAAAACGAACCAATTATGTTTGACTATGTGCTCTTTGGACGTTGCATTGCCCGTGTAGAACAAATAAAGGATCTCGGTGTTACTCTGGACTGTGGGCTAACCTTCAAAATCCATTATAACGACATCATTTCCCGAGCCAATCGCCAACTGGGTTTTATTTTCAAAATTGCCGATGAGTTCCGGGACCTGTTATGCCTCAGATCACTTTACTGCTCACTTGTGCGGTCTATATTAGAATCAAGTGCAGTTGTATGGTGCCCTTTCCAAGCCACTTGGATCGCTAGAATCGAATCTGTTCAACGAAAGTTTGTGAGATATGCTCTTCGTTTCTTGAACTGGCGTGACTCATCGAACCTGCCACCGTACGAGGAGCGTTGCCGTCTTCTAGGCATCGAACCGCTAGTGGTGCGACGGACGGTCGCTCAAGCTATGTTTGCTGGAAAGCTTCTCACGGGTGACATCGACTGTCCAACGTTGCTGGCCCAGCTAAATATGTATGCTCCTGAGAGACCTCTTCGTCAACGCGAATTTCTGTTTTTGGAGCCACGAGGCAGAAATTATACGCAGAATGAGCCAATTCGTGCAATCAGCCGACAATTTAACTACTTTTATGGCGAATTTGACTTTAACGTATCAGCAAATGTGTTTCATCACCGGTTACTTGACCGTTTTCGTTTCGTTGACCATAACTTTATTAAGTTAAGATTAAGTTTTATTCATTAAGACATTAATTGTCAGTTGAATTATTAAATAAACAAATAAACAAATAATAAGTCAAACAACATTTTGTGGGATACAAAGATATGTTACCAACATATTTATCATTCTCATTTTCATTATTTTCTTGGAGATATTTTACAGGTTAATCGAAATCTTGTCCGATTTTCACTTTTGAGCAATTTTCATAACATAATTTAAAATTATCAATTGTGTTTAAAAATAACATTGTTCGATTAACAAAATCATCCTGGATATCTGTTCTTGAGGTTCTGCAGACTCAACAAGGCATACGATGATTCGACTTAATTCTTAATTTACCATTCTATCGGGAAACCCCATAATATCATTGATTTGGATTATTTGGTTTTCCAAAATGCCTGAAGTTCAGATCTTATTCTTCTTTAATATAGTCACTTTAACACTCTTGGATCATTTGTGACTTAAATTTGAACTCATGATAATGATGATTACCCCTAGAAAGGTTTGAGCTGTGGATGAATTATCTCTAAGATAATTAAGTACTTTGTCTTTGGCGTGAGAGGTATGGAGTCAAATCTTTTTGTTTTACAGACTAACCTAGGTATTCTACGATGTCCTAAATAATCTGGTGTAGCTGATTAGCACAAAGTGCAGAAATTATTTTAATTTATCTCTGGACCAATCATCTTTGTTCGTTGATTGTGTCTGGTGTCAAACATTTGCATGCCAAGTATGATGGAGCATGTATGGAGTTTGAGATCGGACATTTATTTATTGGCATGAATCTGCTTCTTATATTCAAGTAGCTTCGTAACAAGATATGTCTCGCTCAGGCTTAATACTAGAACTTCTTCACTCGGAAAATTGCAGCAAAAGAATTCAACTATTTTTCTTCAAATGACACCAACAGAAATTCTAAAAAATTACTCTGTAAGCTATGGTCGAGGCTATGGTAGTATGAACGGCAAAATCACGGGGCAGTGCGCGAACAGATTGTGAGTGAAAGAAAAGAATAGAGTTTTTGTAATTTTGGGGATTTTTGATACTTTAACATATTGTATGTATACGATATAAAATTGATTGATTCCAAGTGACATTGCAAGTTTTATAAAGGTTTACATGATTCTTCAAGACCAAATTATGGCCTACAAGACTATGATGAAATCAAAATTGTTACTTATATGATCTTTCCCGGTGCGATTTGGGTTTTCCCGGATTTTTCCCGGCAACTCCAAATTCCCGTTTTTCTCCCGGATTTCCCGGTTTTCCCGGTTGGATGGACACCCTGTATATTGTACGTAGCCCCATATTACCATGTCCTTATACCTCCACATGCCAAATTTGGTTCCATTTGCTTGATTAGTTCTTGATTTATGCAGAAATTTCTGTTTCATTTGTATGGGAACCTCCCCCCCCTCTAGAAGCGGAGGGGTCTCAAACCATCATAAGAACCTTTCCCGGCCTCAAAAACTCCTGCATACAAATTTTCACGCCGATCGGTTCAGTAGTTTCCGAGTCTATAACAGTCAGACAGACAGACCCGGCCTTGCTCGGGATTCAATTTTAGCCTGAGTTTATGCGCCAATTAAAGAAAGCATGCTATATTGTACGTAGCCCCCCCCCCTATTCTTTAAGGGGCTACCCCCTATGACCTCCACATGTCAAATTTGGTTCAATTTGCTTAATTAGTTCTCGAGTTATGCAGAAATTTCTGTTTCATTTGTATGGGAGCCCCACTTACAGAGGGGGAGGGGTCTCAAACCATCATAAGAACCTTTCCCAGCCTCAAAAACCCCTGCATACAAATTTTCACGCCAATCGGTTCAGTAGTTTCCGAGTCTATACGGGTCAGACAGACAGACAGAAATTCATTTTTATAAATATAGATGTTATTTTAGTGCCATTTTGCCATTTTAAGCTACTTCACGGTTTGCTAGCTGTTTTCCATTCTATATGCTTTTTTTCTATTAGGTGTTTATGGGGTAGTCTTGACTTCATTTTGAAATTATGTTTTGGCTAGTTTGATAGTTTGATATTTCGGTGTTTTTGGGCCATTTTGGCCCTACAATATCTAGCTTTCAAATTGGTGGATCACAAGTTAATGGCATCGCTCAAAATGGGTAGCAAAGAACCGCTGAGTAGACTACAGAGGGATAATTAAATTAATTGAATTTAGTTACACTCCTACAATCTTCAAAAAAGTAGTACTTATACACTTGCATGACAAATTATGAATACGAGCACAAAAAAGACTATACAAGTGTGATCTCTATTGCAAAAACTCTAGTAATTTCATGAGCTCTCGCAATATCATAAACTTTAGAAACATCCAGAACTGCGATAGCTCTTGATACTCTAGAAATTTCCAGAAATTCAATACTGAAGGATTTTTTGGAGCTCCTGGAACTTCAAGAAATCTTGTACTTCGGCAACCTCCGGAGCTGTTCGAACTTCCGGAACTTATAGCAACTAAACAAAATTTTAGGAACTCTGAAAAATCCTGGCGATGCTTCTAGAATTATCAAATCTTACGAGTTCTAGTAGAAACACTACTTCAGGAGATTCTGGTGTTTCTTATGGAGTTCTTTTCTGGAATATAAGTTTCCGAAGTTCCGGGAACTATCGAAGTTCTCAAAATATTTGGATTTGCTAAAAGTTATCGGAATTACGATATGTTTCCCATTAGCATGTTATTGTTGTACCAGTTTTGAGGTTGCACAGACTGAACACTTAACATTAGACAACAGCCAACACACAACGTCTAGTAAACCGGTAGGAAAATTTTCTTTTGTCGAAGAGCTCCACTGGCTGGAGCGGGAATCAAGCCCTCACTCACACTAACACTGATATCCGCTCAATCACAAAAGACACAAGATATATTAAAATTGCGAAGCTTCTGTAGGGCAAGTATTTACAAGCAGTGTAGAAAGCGAGCAAGGACAACTTTAGGAATTTTCAAATCGGTTTGATCATCTCTCTTTATCAAACTCCCCCGTTGGAGAGGGATGGTGAGGGGTATTCCCCTCAGCCACCACTGGCAAAAAGATATGATCGACCTACCCTACCCATGCCCCTCGAGATCGTCAAGTCGACGATGACAGGGGCACATACCGTGGTAGAGGTAACAATTGCTGCAACCTACGACTGGATGCCTTCCTTCAGATGACAACTTAAGTGCGGTAAAAATCGATAGAACTGTTTCAAACACATCGTCGGTACATGAGCGAGTCGGCGATCATCTCTTTTTGAAAGTGGAGGCGGATGGGAATACCACTCACCATCCCTCTTCAACGGGGGAGTTTGGTAAAGAGAGATGATCAAACCGATTTGTACCTTCCTAAAGTGGTCCTTGCTCAATGAGGTACAGAGAGAGGTTGCGCAGATCGTGAAATAGAGTTGTATTAGTAAACCAAAAAATCAACGTAAACGCAAGTAGTGACGTCACTACTTGCGTGTACTTGCGTGTATCGTACAGTGGTTGTGTGAGTGATTGCTTCACCTCGGTAATCCATCTCATTGGTCCTTGCTCGCTTTCTACTCTCTATATACAATTTTCACACTGCCGTACTCTAACGGAACTATCAACTCTATCTTTCATCTCCTCATATATCGTATACAAATTATCACTTTAGTCTGTTTTTTGAAACTAGCATTTTCAACTACGGTTTAACAAGCTAAAACAACAAGGTTTTTTTTGTCAATTTAAATCCCAACTAAATTTTAAAATGTGATGAATTTACCATTAGACTTTACATCAACGTTAGTCTAATAAGCTTTTTAAACCGCTACAGATCTGTATAAATCTATCTATACAGATTTCTGTATAAATTTTAAAAAGATTCCTAAAATCTAGTTATTGCAAACACATTTTGAAGTTTTAAATACTAAGCATTTTGCACCAAAGAAGACTGCTGCGCCAAAGATAATTCCCAAGATTCACTTGCTTGGTTAGTAAAAATAAATATTGATCATTTTGAATATAATACAGCGCTGCATTTTACAATATGGAGCTTAAAAAATTAGCATAATCTTAGCATAATCAGCTCTGCGGGATCATCCCTAGCGCAGGAATTCACTTTCCTCTACTTTGATCACTTTAGGCGAATTTCACTTACTTTAAACTTTTATTGGATGCTTAAAAAATAACTGTTGCTTCTATCAAGCAGATAACTGCAAATAGACTCGGTACTGATAGCAGCAGTAGAACGAAGCAGGCGAGAAACTGAAAGAAAATGAAAAACGTTCTCACCCACTGAACAATAAGATCATTTTTGACTCAAATTACTCTCAGACCAATTTGGATTGATTTTATGTACTAAAACATAGTAATTAACTCTATTGCAGTAACAGTTTCAAAATTATGTGTAAAGGTGGGATTGATTCGGTCCACCTACTGCCAGTAAACATACTTGAAAACGACTCAGTAATTAATCACTTCACTTGACAATTTTCACTCGATTCTGCAATCAACGAAGCACTTCGCTATCGTCAATACAATTGAGCCGAAAAAATAATCTTAAAAAGAACGATAAATACGCAATACTTTCACTAAACCTTACTTGAGGTACAATTCTGTACAACTTGAAGCATATTTTAATTTGTGTTGAAGTTTTGTTTGAACAAAATGATTAGTTTTGAAAATGTTTAAACATGTGCTAATATCAGTTATATGAAATTCAGAAACTCTCAGAAATACGTTGAGAACTATCAAAACTATAAAAGTATCTAAAACTCGCTAATTCCAGGAGCTCTAGGACCTCCAAACACTATCAGACCTTTGAAAAATTTCAGAATGACAGGAATGTAGAGACAGTTAGAAATCAGAACACTGAGCTATTTACACTTTGCGCGACGACCACAAGGACTGTAGAACTCATTCATCATTAAGTGCTCCATGAGCTTCTGTTTCTAAGTTTCTAGAAGCGTAGATACCTCAGCGCATGCGTAGCCTGCGCTAATAGAAATGTCTCCATACAAATCTGAGTAAAAGTGACTCACTCTCTGAGTACGATTCGTTTTCGGTGAAGCACACTGAACCTCGGAAGTAAGTTAGGTCGGTTATACCAAACGATAGCATAACAACTCACAATCAACCAGACTCACCGCATGTTTTTTGGCAATTTGCATCACAGTCTTCCAGGTGACTTCGTACAGTAGTTTTGTCTGTGTGATAAACACTTTTTCCTTGGGTGCCACCAAACTCGCCATACAGTGGTAGCATTCTTCCTCTGAAATGAGACAAAAGGAGAACATGGAATGGAATTAGAGCGATTACCTTGTCGTTATTGAGTAAGTATAGGAACGTGTTCAATTAATCAAAATTTGTGTAGGAAAATTGTTGAAGGGTTTGGAGCAAGAACATGTTTTAACACTCCGTATTCTGTATTAAGATAAATCATAATGTTTTTTGAATTTCTGAAAAATTTCCTTTATTGTAAAGCTTTGATATTCTGAGTCAAAATACTAACTTTTTTTTATTGAGATTTGTGTTTTGAAAAAAAAAATCTTTCTGGATTCAGAACAATAAAAACTTGATCGTAGTTTTTCAACAATCGAGAACTGAGATAAAGATTTAAAATGAGGGATTTGAAAAAATCTAAGATTAAATGTTTGTACAAACAAATAACGTTTAGAGGCTCTGGGAATTGGATGAATTTTCTGGTTTCATACAATTAAAAGAATATTGAATTCAGAGGAAGTATAAAAAACAACAGTGCCGGTGGTGTAGTGGTAACCGTGATTGCCTCTCACCCACAAGGCCTGGGTACAATCGCAGTCGGAGCCACAGGGATTTTTTTAGGCATAAAATCTCTGATCGAGCCTTTCTTCGGAAGGGAAGTAAAGCCGTTGGTCCCCGACCTCCGGTTGATGGGTCGATTGGTAGGGTACAGGTGAGGGAGCTGCCTCCCTGGGATTGGTAGCATAGGTAGCAAGATCGACGGAAAACAAATCAAGAAAAACAAAGAATAACAAAAGTGACAATTTCAAAAAAATGTTGACGAAGATCCAAAGAGTTCTAAAATTCAAAGATAATTTGAGATGAAGTCCTAAGCAATTTTGAAGAAGAAGTTTAAGAGATTTCTTGAGAGATAAAAGTAATCAATTGAATTACTACGCAGTTCTTGAAAGAATTCCAAGGTAGTTGTGTTGTGAGGAGAACTTCAAGGGGAATCCCTTGATGATGTTGAAGAGAGTTGAATGGTGATCTTGAGAAGAACAATAGGTAAATTTTAATGAGAATCCCAAAACGATTCTGATGAGAATCAGGAAATACTTATAAACCGAATGTAAATGTATAAAGAAAGAGAGAATGATTAGTAATTTCCATTTAATTACACTACCTTATTTGCCTATCCTTGACAGATAGGCGTATTTCGTCTACAATGTGCAAACTTCTTCAGTGTATTGTACTAATACTCGACTGTACAAGATACTGAAGAAGTGTGCACATTTTAGACGAAATACGCCTATCTGTCAAGGAAAGGCAAATAAGGCAGTGAAATTAAATGGGAACTACTAATGCTTCTCTCTTTCTTTATACAGGTATTCCACTAAGACACCCACATTCATCAGGAGAATTTAAAGGGTTCAACAATAATTTTGTAAGGAAGATTCATAAGAGAGCATCAAAATAATTAAAAAAAAGTACGGTATGGTATTCTGAGGTTAATTGCAACGAAATTTGGAAGCAGATTTAAATTGAATTCTTACAAAAGTTCTCAACTTAATTCAGAAGAAAATTCCAAGGGATTTGGGATGAGGAGAATTCTTTGTTAAATCTGGGTTTAATATAATGGAAAAGAATCGCTCGAAAATTTAAAATTTGATTTAATACCGTATACAAAAATTCCGAAAATTGATTAATTCTGTTTTGGTTTTCACATATGTTTATTCCAAAGTTTGACACATAATATATTTCTCTCTGAGGTTCATGCACAAGAAATATCCGGATTTGAGTAGGGACGAAATGTGTTGGTTGAGTTAAATTCTAAACGAACACGAATGTCTACATTTTGCAGCAAAAAGAGCAACTCTTATTTTTTAAACTCGCTTGGTTTAAATAATTGCATTGTGATCAGTGAATCTAGATTAGCAATTTCCAGTTTTTTCCCAGTGTTTGGAAAATTTTTCCCGGTATGCGATATACATTTCAATTGAAATTAAGCATAAAACTGAAAGCAGACATCAGAATTTTTCTTGGATCTCAAAGTTGGTTCTTCGTTCGAAGTCTTCAAAATTTGTCTGTTTTATTGGAATATTCTCAAGCCTTTCCTTTAGAATCCCTTAGAATTTTGTTTCAGAATTAATCTACAATAAATTTGAGATTCTCTCTGAGATACAATTTCTTATTAAAAGTCCAGAAATTCCGTACAGAGCAATCCAAAAAATGCATGAAATTCATTCTAAGCTTCTCTTGGAATTTTAAAGTTTTTTGTAAAAATCCGCTTAAGCTTTCATCCATATATCTATTTAAAATTCGCTTGAATTGTTTTTAGAATTTCCATGCAATTCAACTTAGAAATGTGTTAAAACTACCCAAGTAAATGGTTACGTTATTTCGCCCTTTTGGCTATAAACGAGCCTCATCAGAACTTGAAAACACTGGTATAGCCGTTGTTCAGCTGTATATAGCCAAAAAGGCGAAATAACGTACCTATGTTTACTTGGGAATCCTGCTATGCAGCTTAGAGTTCTCTAACTTACTTTCGTTAAAATTCTTTAGAAATTATTTTTGAGAAGCCCTTGGAATTATCTTCGGAATCCCCTTAAAACTCTTCTCAGAATTAACTTCGAATTGTACATAATTGGCAGCCAGTGCTAAACCACCCTAACTTGACGCCTATGACCCAAACCAACTTTGGTGAGAAAGCAGTCACACTTACCACTCAACAACTGGCGCCGTCAAAACCTGACCCTAGATTTTTTTATTAAATTTTGAAAGGGGCGTCATTTCAAAAGATTTCAAAGGGCGCAGTACACCCTCACTAGTCACAACGCCTCTAACAACTCATGAAAATGTGTTGCAGGACCACCCTCCTACTAACAACATGCATTTAATGACATCATCTTTGAGTAAAGAAAAAAATAATTCGATCGATCCAGAAGCACTGACGCCATAACCGACGCAATAATCACCATCGTATACCTGGAGCCACTACCAACCTCCAGCCACCCACTGGCTAGACTGCAGTAGGCGTACAAAATCGGCTCACAATTTGCATACGTACCGTGTAGGGCACCTAGCTACATACATATGTCAGTACATAGGTTTAGATCACAACTGGCCACCGGGCGAGGTGTGTCCTGCTACTCTCTGTCATCGATTGAATGTTTCCTTGTGGTTGTTCCGTTTTGAACGCGCGCTGCATGCATCGGAGCTAAACATAGTGTACCTCGGGCACCCGTCGTTACAAATGTAATTTAGCCGTCACAATCTAGCCATCAGCAGCGGTCGATGGGGCGGTTTATGGCGTTGGATAATTAACTCCGATCGTATAATGAACCTAGAGGATTTCGCGCGAGACTAACCGGCGAAACGTGACGATGCGAAAGTTTGCCGGACGGCGGATTCTATCCGGTGACATACTATACAACGAAATGGGCTTGAAATTAGGTGCCTTAACGATGGGTTCAAATTTATGCTAAGTGTGAATTATCTAGTTTGAGGGATACTCTTGACAGGTTATTACAGTTGTCGATGATGGAATATTAAAAAAGAAGATTTTCCGCACGCGTGCGGTGTAATAAGATGGAAACTCAAAGCTTCTCATTACACGTCAACAAATAATTATTTTTAGAATAATCTACTAGACTCACATCCTTTCTATTCACTGCTATCATTATTTTAAAACAACCTTGTGGTGCTGTAATGATCCCGCTGAATAAACGTTTCGTTACATCCTTTGGTTTAATAATGTAACGACACACCTCTTTCCATCCCGGTACTGTTGGTCTAAAATTAACCTATCGCGGAGCATGATTCCATTAAAACGAGTTAACTTCCAGACGAACATTTTTGACACGCTAACGGTTGACGTAACCACGGGATCCTATTTCCAGCGCCAATCTCAAGATCAAAACCGGCTTGTAATAAGTCGAGTCATGGGCATACATTTTTCGTATTGTTCTTATCACCACTACCGAACGTGACCCGGAGATGAGTTACCAATTTTCGTTGCAGTTTCGAGAATCTCTCGATTTAGGTAATTTCATTTAGAATCACTTCATCATCGTCGCCAGTGGTAGGCGGGGAACAAAGAATGGAGGTTTATTTTAAAGACGCCCTAAAAAAAAACACGTGACCATTCGGGGCGTCATCCTTTGGTTAAAACTTTTTTGCTCTCTTCGGAACTGCGGGCTGAAATGGATTTGGATTTAATTTGGCTTGATGGAAGAATAAAAGACGGTTACGTCGATTACGGAAAGTATCGGATTCGCATCAGGATATGACTATGCAAAACGGTAGGCTTAATACAAAGCACAACAAAAGGGCTTTGAGATTAACGGGAGTCCTTCAAAAAGAGATAAAACCGAGTAAAAATCCTGATGAATGTGGGCGGCTTAGTGAAATACCTGTATAAAGAAAGAGAGAAGGATTAGTAATTTCAATTTAATTCCACTACGTTATTTGCTTATCCTTGACAGATACGCGTATTTCGTCTCAAATGTCCAGACTTCTTAGTAGACAAGACACTTAGTCGAGTATTAGTACAAGACACTGAAAAAGAATATGCATTCTGTGAAGACAAAATACGCGTATCTGCCAAGGATAGACAAATAATGTAGTGAAATTAAATGTAAATTACTAATCCTTCTCTCTTTCCGTGTAAAAATGTTCCACAACACGTCGCGTCGGTACAAAAAGAACCTTGCACATATATACAAATTACACTGTGCAACAAGGCTTTCTACGACTGGGAAAATTTACTTTATTTGACTTTCTCGTGGTCTCCTGAGTAAAAGTCTCGAACAAACTTATACCCTAACACGTCCTAATTTTGTGGTACCACCCTCTTTATGAATTTTGGTATGTTGTCCTGATGTCAGTTGTATGCTGCCTAACTAAAGCATGTTACGACATTGTCGTCGAAGAGTTTTTTTTTAGAAAATTACATGAGGAACATTTTTTTTAGAACATTTGAAAACGATATCTCGTTGTCCTACCCCTTGTTTGGGTGATTTTTCAAATTGTGTACCTCCCTAAAAATCTAGAATTCATGGAAATTCA